TGCATTAAATTCAGTATAATTCAACTGATGAAGAAAAACGTATCGTACAACAGTTTCGTTGTTGTAGGACTCAATAGTGAGATAAGGGGAAAGAAGTTTTGAAATCGAGGGGGTCAATCTGTATAACAAACATTTTTAACAGAAATAAGCTAATACATGTGATTATGTCTGACATCAATATGGCTAATACAACTGATTATGACTGACATCAATATGGCTAATACATATCATTATGTCTGACATCAATAAGGCTGATACGTATGATTATATCTGACATCAATAAGGCTATTACATATGATTATGTCTGACATCAATAAGGCTAATACAACTGACTATGTCTGACACCAAGTAAGCTGATACATCTTATTATGTCTGACATTAATAAGGCTAATACATATGATTATGTCTAACATCAATAATGCGAATACATCTGATTATGTCTTCAATCAGTAAGGCAAATACATCTGAGTATGTCTAACATCAATATGGCTAATACATCTGAGATGTCTGACATCAATATGGCTAAAACATCCGATTATGTCTGACACCATGTAAGCTAATACATATGAGTATGTCTCACATCCATAAGGCTAATACATCCGATTATGTCTGACACCATGTAAGCTAATACATATGAGTATGTCTGACATCAATAAGGCTAATACAACTGACTATGTCTGACAACAAGTAAGCTGATACATCTTATTATGTCTGACATTAATAAGGCTAATACATATGATTATGTCTAACATCAATAATGCTAACACATCTGATTATGTCTTCAATCAGTAAGGCAAATACATATGATTATGTCTGACATCAATAAGGCTAATACATATGGGTATGTCTGACATCAATAAGGCTAATACAACTGACTATGTCTGAAACCAAGTAAGCTGATACATCTTATTATGTCTGACATTAATAAGGCTAATATATATGATTATGTCTAACATCAATAATGCGAACACATCTGATTATGTCTTCAATCAGTAAGGCAAATACATCTGAGTATGTCTAACATCAATATGGCTAATACATCTGAGATGTCTGACATCAATATGGCTAATACATCCGATTATATCTGACACAATGTAAGTTAATACATCTGATTATGTTGACATCAATATGGCTAATACATATGAGTATGTCTCACATCCATAAGGCTAAAACATCCGATTATGTCTGACACCATGTAAGCTAATACATATGAGTATGTCTCACATCCATAAGGCTAATACATCCGAATATGTCTGACACCATGTAAGCTAATACATATGAGTATGTCTGACATCAAAAAGGCTAATACATCTAATTAGGTGTGACTCTACGGTAGGCGTTAAACCTACCTAAGAAATCATACCTGTAAATTTTGCGTAATCAGCATACTCATTAGTGATGAAGTTTGAAACCAGTAAAGCAAACAGAGAATTCAGGAATATTTAAAGAGTTTACATAAATATACGTATTGTATATTGGTCTTATGTTGTATTCAGAACAAGAAAGTGCTTTAATATTACATTGCATATAGATAACTATCAGTAAATATGTTTTTATATTCTAGTCAGATGCCCATTACATTTCCAAGTATATGTTAAGTGACGTACGTTATATACACATAACAAGTGTCTATTTACATGTGAATGACAGGTGACGTACGAGAGAAAACACGTGACCAGCAGCATAAGGAAAGGTCATGCCAAAACATCGACCTTCACCATCACATACAGCCTAGGAAACCACACGAAGACACAAATCTTTGGACCTGCTCGACTCCAACCTGGCCCTGGGAGAGGAACTGGCCATGAAATTATGGGAAATGGTCTTTGATGCAAATACATCTTACTAGCATTAAATGCAAAGTATATTTAAATAATGCCTTCAAATAACTGTTTTCTACCTCCAAAACTCGTGTTGATATCAAGATTGGTTATGTCAAAGAGTACATTAATGTTCAATTAATGTATACTTTACTTACAGACACACAAATAATGCACTTTGAAGGTATATTTATACATATACATTTACTTTCATGTTTCTGCATGCCTCTTTTCTCAAAATACATTTACCTACATCTATTGTACAAAATTCAATTAAGTAGATATTGCTTATTACATAAAAAAGTGCAAAGATTATTAAACGAGCATGTTTTGTTTATTGTGTATAATAGTTATTCATTTCCGTAAAAGTTCACCAGATGTACACAAAAAGAAAACAAGACAGGAACTAAATTTCGACAATGGGGTCTAATTCGCTGATATGTTAGGACACGATACTGCTGAATCTTATAAAACATCTTGTGGTTAAAGTCATGAAAAATATAGAAACTATACCTGGACCAAGCCCAGACAACACGCATTAGTGGCGACTTTCAGTTAATGATATGCGTACCGACAATTCCAGTTATCAAATTACAAATGCATCTGTGTCAATAGGTATTCAGAGTACACTCCGTTTTTGTTATGGCTCATAATCATAAAAACATAATAGAAGCTAATCTTTGTAATTTGATCATAGACTACAGTACTGTTGACATTCAAAATGGCCTCTCTTCTCTGATTTTTATAAGTATTGTTTTATAGAGGAAACCAGGAAAATGAACCATTGAAAGATACAACTTGTATCAAGTAAAACTACAAAATTATCACAAAAATCCATAAGAATTTCGAAACGTCATCTTCGGTTATCGCATCAATTTGAATATATAGATGCTAAACTTAATTATGATAAAGACAGTCTTATATTTTGGGGGTTGTACGGAAGAACGAAAGTGAATGGAATTTTAATACAAATTTAGAATTAGATGCAAAAGATATTACTTAAACTGCATCATACAGCTGTTTCGACCTTCTTGGACTCAACAATGCTATACAATTTTCGTGATGCACAAAAAATACATCTTTTAGAATGCATGCAATTAAGTATATAGTAAAACATTAAAATCATTCAAAAGTTTCACTCATTTTCTGATTATTCTGATAATTAAACAAACTGGTGTACTAACTAGTGGAACAGTAACGCTCCGTAACGGTAACACGTTTACAATCAATGATCAGCGTGACACATCAATATATCATAAAGGACAAACGTTAAATGAGATTGTCATTTTAACCCCAAGTCATGACCTGGTAAATTTATGCTTGCGTCAATTACACCTGTTATGTTTTTTATCAATTTGCATTTTGTTTTGGTAAAATTTATGATATTGACATTTATAGAAAATATATCAATTAATAAAATGATTCGTGATCTAGTGTATGAAAATACTGATATTATATACAGCACTGTATCTATATTTGTTTTAATTTGGACATATTCATCTCAAATCGAAAAAATAGTAGTTTAATTGGTCTTTAATATGGTATCATAATCTAATATTGGTTAGTCTTTAATGTAGGACCTTAACTTTGAGCCATCCAAATGTGGGGTTTGATATGACAATAGGATTGTTAAAACTGAGAGTAGAATGTGTGGCAACAGAAATGTTCAACTTAAGGGGTTCATTACGTAGCAACAAAATCACTCATGCTGCGGGAGTGACTGGATAACAACATAACGACTCAAACTGCAGAAGTGATGGTGAGACGGATACACCAGTTAAATATTCGCTTTTCAGAGGTGTCATAACAGTATAAATCCGTGCGATACATTCTGTTTTACATCATATACACCATTACACATTTGAAAGTCGATTTCCGTTATACCACCTAATGTATGATGGATTCATGTGATGACGTTGTCCTTTATTGAAGGTATACTGAAAGATGAACGAAAGCAATACATATCAACTAAAATTTAAAGATGAAGATACAAAGCACCACGTTGAAAATAAAACCTGCTTCAATATCTGTTTAACTAGTTTCCATCCAGCCATTTTTCCGAGTTTACCTCACAATGATATCTAAAACTAAGAACACCATAGAAAGTCCTGTCCACAAACAACGAGAAAATACTACTAAACTCATATTCAATAAAACTAGGGCAAAATATGAACAAAAGACAGAAAGGAGACCAGGTGTTTCGGAAGAGTAAATATCTTCTGCTTCATCGACGACACCCCAATGTAAACCTTGATCAATCCAAGTAAGTAATGTCACGTTCTCTACAACTCTAAACTAACGAGCATCAAATACGTCCGACCTCTTTTCGCACAAAGAAGTAGAATATTTCTCATTGAGATCACTATGGAGACCCTCAAACTTCTCTTTAATTTTCATCCACCTGTATCTTTTGAAACCCTGTGTTACGAGTTTGACAATTTCTTGTATGAATGTCGTGATAATGGGAACTAGCCTTTGGTTATCGAATTAACTGCATCATGTAAACACCATAAAAGAAGAGGGTAAGATATGACCAAAAGAAATATTAACACTGAGAATCCTGAAAAATACATAAGAGATGATCAACAAAACATTTTCTGTTATGTATATAATAGTTAAGGAACACAAATTTATATTGGTTTTATAGCTAGTTGTACAAATACAAATAATGAGTTCATTGGTGCATAACCTTAATTGTTTCAATGCAAACTGCATTATATCGTTGCACTACCTCGGCATTCATCCCTAATGCGAAACTGTCACTGTCACACATGAACGTGTATAATTAATGTTGTATAAATTGAAGACAATCCTGCGGCATGTTGTCCTCGAGGATATGTTTTTTTCACTGTTGATTTCAAACAAAAACCTGTAAATATCGTCATATTTATGATTGATAATAAATGGATAAGCGTTGATGTTATTGTAAGTCCTCTATGAACCTCGGTGTTCGTAGAAAATAAATATGAAATGGCTTAATTAGATGCAGGCGTCATTAATTTTCTGAGAACTCTCTATTGTCTTCTGGTCACGTGATCTATAATTCCATGAATCTGTACGTTGTTTACGTAGGATGTGATCGTAGGTACCTAGCCTATTATCAACAGAATACTATATATAAGGGGGAGAAAAACTAAAGACCTCGCAGTCATCCTGACCAGACACCAGATATACACCAAAATGATCCTGTCAGCATTCCTGTGTTTGTTCCTGTTCTCTCTTACAACTGCTCAAGTGATTGAAAGCTCTGAAAGTAAGTAACCATATAGATGTATAACTTTTGCAATAACAAGCGTTCCGTATGCTTGAGACATAAAATAAACCATGTTTCAGGGACAAGAACATTCTATGTATAGTTTCATCTTTCTGAAATCAAGTCTGTTTTTTTTTATAATAAAGGCTCTTTATCTTTTAGTTCGTTTGATGTTATTTCCTCTTGGATCGCTGTGTCTTTAACTGGTTGATGGATTTTTATGTGATGACGAGCCATTAAGAACGAAATGATAATAATAATAAAGGCTCTTGCCTGGTTAATTAAAGAGATCTGACAAGAAAAACAGTGACATTTGTAGCACGTGACAGAAACTGCATTCTAAAACACATGTGGTACAAAAGTAGTATTGGTTTTGTTTTGCATTCACGATATAATCGTTTTCTCCTCATTTTTCAGTAAAACTTCAAATAATTTCTTTATTATTCATATATTCTTTTATTGCTTTCTGCAGAGGCTAGAGAATTGAATTACTATATATTGGTGAATTATCAAGGAAAAGCTCAAAACGACTTCCCTGTGCTTGAGAAAAGACTCGAAGGCGCTACGTTAGCATGTGAACAGAAAATTAACAGAACTATTGATACCTGTTTGAAATGCATTGAAACGTAAGTACAGATGTCATATATTGGTTTACATTGATCTATTAACTTGATGGTTAAACGACGTCTTTGATAACCATGGCTATACAAAGCGTCCGTAAAATACCAGAAGAGACAATCTAAATAATGCTGTATTGATTATACGTGTTTTCTCTATCCATTATTTCCTAGCTTCAATTTTATTTTGATTCTTGAGGTAAGATATCGTATAATCACGAATTTACCTTTTCACAAAATACATTTTTTCAACATTCTGTCTTGTGTTGCTACATTTAGCATCCGTTCAGTAGAGCTATTACAGCAACAGAAACTGCCGAGTTTCATTTCTATCTCAATTTCTGGTAAAATTGACAGCATACAATATCATTATATTTGATTTTACTTATCTATAGCAACCAGAATTCTGGTGGAGGGAAAGGACCACGTTTGGATCAACTGATTGTTGGTGTTATCCCATCACCCCTTGTAAATGGTTTGGGAAAGTTCGCAAATGATTTTAAAACCACATTCGAAAAGGATGTTCCAAAGTTTTTCACAGGAACAATTCCAAAGACTGTGAACAACGTTGGAAAGGAGATCGATAAATTCTTCACAGGAACAATACCCGGTGCAACTAAAATTGCTGGAAAGAATATCGGCACGTTCTTTACGGGAACATTACCAGGGGCGACCAAAACGGTTGGCAAGCATTTGGATACATTTTTCACTGGCACATTACCTGGTGCGACTAAAACGGTTGGAAAGCATTTGGATACATTTTTCACTGGCACAATACCGAATGTAGGAAAAGATATCAAGAATGGTTTCGAATCACTTGGCAATAAAATTGCAGGTACATATATTTTATATTGCTATGTTTCATTTCATTGGTGTAAAGTCTATGTTTTCTTATATATCAAAGTTGAATAAATTACATTGGAACAAGCTTACAGACTGTTATATTACAATACACATAGGCATCGTTTCGAATCGAAAACAAATGTGTGTTGTTTTTTCTTATTATATTTGTCTGCTACATGAATACAAGGAAAATCAATATCATAGCATACCTTAACAACGTTCAAGATCTTAACTGCTTTAATATGTTGAACGATTCTTTTACGTACAGGAATCTTTGGACGTAGGAGAAGAGCGGCACATCCATGCCCTTCCTGTGATAGGATCAACACTGATTCAAAATCTGCTGATCAAATCCGAAGGGATGGTATGTGTTAACATTTGTATCATTAGAGAAGGCGAACACTCTCTTTACTCATTATATTGCAGACTGAATTGCTGGAATGATCATATTCAATAGAGTTTTTTTTTTTTTTTTTTTTCAACAAAATCTACAGAAATGCGCAATAATGATGACAGTCTCTTATTTTCATTCTCTCTAATTTTGATTGTAGCTTTGGATATTTTTTGTTTTTTTCTGATGAAGAGACGCACATTGAAAAAAAAATCAAATCTCCGGCAGCGCATTTTAAATTGTTATTGGTGATTCTATTCTCACCTTCTTCCTTTTACTCATAACGTAACGCCTGATCAGCAATATATCTCGTTTCTTTTTCATTTAATTCTTATTTATTTTGTTAGTTTGTGGTAATTCCCTTTTCAACGTCTTCGACGAATACACCAATACAGTGAACATCTTCGACTGGCTGAAGGAGGGCAACTTGATTGTTTCCAAGGTAAATATACCCAAAGAGTAATAAAAATTCCTTCTGAAACGAAATACAGATTAGTTTTAATTATTCTATGTATCCTGTAACGCATATGATTTTTTGGAATGTTTTGAATGATAATGGTACAGTTTGTGAATGTATATTGGTTTTCCATTATTTGTCTGGAACTATTAGATGCTTCCATTCTTACTCGTCCCATTTAAAGTAAGAATTACAGTCGAACCTCGTTGTCTCGAACTCGGTGGGAACATTTGGAAACTTCGAGATAACCGAGTGTTCGATTTAAGTTAGTCCGAATGTTTTTTGAAAAGTGAAGCAGGGACCGGCGTTAACGAGGTACAGCTTAATATAAGAAGTTAAAATAAAACTTTTATCTTTCTACAGGTGTCCTTCAAGGTAGGAGATAAGCTCCAAATACCTCCTAGCAAAGAATATGCCAAACCTTTTACCGTTACCTACAGTATCGGGGCTGGTGATACTCCTAAGAATTACAAAAACACAACCACATACTTAGACGTCACAGACTACAACAATGAAGAATTTGGCTTGTTCCTTGCTGAGAAAATCTGGAATGAGTATGTTTTTGGACAGTAAACGCTTACATTAACTATCGCCTTGATGTACTTTCCATTCTCGTTGATCTTAATATCCACTTTATTTTTTTACATTATATTTATATTTTTCTTCTCTTAATTAAATATTCATGCAAAACCATTGTTTGCTTGTTATCATTTATCCATTTCTGTTATTATAAGAAAGCAAGCAGTAAAAAAATGTAGCTTTTCTTGTAAACTTTTATTATACAGACAAATCAACAAAATAACCAGCATATTGCACCCAATTAAGTAAATAATCAATATCATTTGATTAATTGAGCAAAATATTATCTGAAAGGAGCCAAAAGACAATAAAATTATCAGACATACTTACGAGCATCGAATAAAGGAGAATATGTTAAAAGCCTTAATAAAATTGCCAGTACTTATTGCAAAAATCAAGTTCACAGATATTCAACGAGCAATGTCTGTCTAATATTATAATGTCTGTCTTTATTAAACTACATTGTTGACTTTTTGTTCACATCTCGTTCTTATACAGCGACGATGCTTCATATGAATAAGATATCGAGTATAGTGTATGTGGATTTTTTCCTTTAAAGCATTTGGGACATTTTCACAAAGAGTCATTTTTAGGGCCAAATTCCTAGTAGTACCTCACTGAACAGCATACGAGAAGATAATCGAATCAGTTTTAAGCAATTATGGTAAAGTATCTTGTCCCAAATCACAAGCATAGACCGGCTCGTTTCTCAGCTGCCCGACGAGAAACAAACCACCAGAGGTAGAGAGCGACGAACCACGCACCTCGGATGTTCAACTGGAGTTACGTAAGCCAATCGACTAAGCTAACTCGGCCCCAGTCTCTGTATATGATATCTCGTATAGCAAATACATTATGTAAAGTAATTACATGAATTATTAGATATCTCCTATACTGTAGGAAATATCTTACATAAGGACTCTTTATATAGTTAAAATGTAATAGAAATTAGAGATCGATATTGCTTCTTAAATAAATACTGTGATAAGTTGTTCAGATAGCTTACCACAGGTAATTTACAAAAACACTATTCGTAAAGGAACGTTGATTGAAACGGGAGATAATAAGACAAAGTAATATTGCATCAAATTCATATATATATATAGCTCTTCAAAAACAAGCTATCGAGGCCCTACGATATCTACATGATACACTGAAGACTGCCTTGCTGTAAATATTGATTACGTGTTAAGTCATAAAAACGTTAAGCCTATTAAAACGTTAATTTGAATTTGAATTATAAGAGAAAAGAGTCCTCCAAATGTGAATAGAAAAGAGTGAGGTTACACTAGTAAAAGCAATGGATGTAATAATCTTCTCAAATAGCACATTATATGGCTGAGGTATTTTCGTTGGTCCAAATTTTATCAAGTTTTATCAAATGCTGGGATACTATATTAGTCTTAAACGGAATATCGGTCTCTTTTTCAGTTTTACTTTCATGGAATTGATTTCTCGCCATGTTGTTCGATTCTGCAAAAAAAATTTAAACCCCGAAATATAGAACGTCTCGGTAAAACGAAAAATTAAGCCCCTCAATAATAACGTAAAAAAATATCGGCTCGAAGATAACGAAAAATTAAACCCCTGAAAAATTAATTAAACATTGAATCCCGTAAAGATAAAGAAAAATTAAACCTCTCAATAATAAAGAAAAATATAGCGTCTCGATAATAACGAAAAATTAAACACCTTAAAATTAACAAAATGTTGCAAAAATTACGAAAAATTCATCACCTCGAAAACAGTCTCCACAGCATATGAAACGATTTGACTTGCTCAATAATCCTATAGCCTTACTCTAAATGGTTTTAATTGAAAACAGAGGAGGTACTGAAATAATCTGAGAACGAAATATGTTATTCATTTTGGAAAAAATGATACTTCACCTGGTATAAAATAATTTTATGTTATTTCCGCGGGAACTTGTCGCGATTCCTTAATGTGCTCGCGAAAAATTCCATGAAATAATGAGACACGTGCGTCGATATCGCGAATTTGTTAAAAATATAATTAGATCGTTTTAAAAGAAAATCGCGAAAATTTTCACACGTGAAAATTACCAGCTGTCAGTAACTTGAATACCACTCTGACGTCGTACCGGACCCATTCAATAAATATCATGACATTAATTTTATGAAGCCTAACTATATTTTGTATTCGTCCATTTCCCGACAGTTATACTGTTCTAGGAGTCATTAATCTTCCCGAGTCGTGACGTTATGTGTTGACCACTGTCTATAACTTCTACTGGTCAAGGAGATGACTACGGTGTTGTATTAAAAGCATAACAAGCTTACCTATATGATAACATTACAGGATTTCCTTTGGTATGTAAAATATATTTCATATGTACGACAGAGTGAGTGCATTTGTACTGATGGGTCCGCGTTAAACTTATAACGAGTACCTCAATGGTACATACAATTTGCCTGATAAAAGTTACACTAGATATAGTGTATGGTAATTCCAAGAATATTTACGCACACATGCTGATAAAAAAAAACACTAAGTACGTCTGAAGACAAGTGTTGGTCAATCGCGACGCGCCTTCACCCGACACGTCAACTCCATCTAGAAAACTTACATCTACAATATTTTCTTACATTTGCATGTACTGTATTGAACTGGACAAAGTTGTGGCATATATATCTCTCTGTCAAAGTTGTACTCTGTTACATACCAACCGTCCAGTTTCCTTTGGTAAACTAACAATGCCTTGAAAAATAGACCGACATTGTTTAGAAAAACAGACATGTTGACCAGTTGGCCAAATTACCCTAGATGCATTTATCGTGCATGACGAAGGGTTTGTTTGTTCGAATGTCCTATGGTGACGAAGATCTTGTTTATTCCAAATGTAACCATCCCCTCAGGGGCTACATTATATACCACAGGGCCGTATATAGTCTTTACTAGTACTAAGACATCAGACTTATCCACCAGTGTCGTCGGGGTCACATTTTAAGGTAAGTGTACAGCGATGCCAAGGAGCGACCTTCCAATATATTATATCTATTTGATAAGCACATGTAAAAATTTTGAACGGCTGTATCCATCTGAATATTCAAGTATTCGCGGGGAGTAATATATATTTAACATTATAAAAGACTTTTTAGTTTTTTTTTCTACGAATCGTTTGTAATTGATCAATGAATTATTTCCCGAAATAAATAACTTGCTTGTTTATACTCTATTTAAAAGCATCAAATATTCATTTAATCGATGACTGATTGAAATTTCAGTCTAGTCAGACATTTCGCTTGTTTGTTTCAACTGAATTGTATACACTAACATAATTGATTAAATTAGAGAGATTGTTTATCTCCCCTTCCTTATTCCTGAATGTTTAACGTCAATTTAATTTTTCCGTATCGTATGGATTTCCACACTTTAAACTCCAAACGTAAATAAAGATTTTTTGAAAAATAAAGTAGTATCAAAATCCATTTTTCAATTTTGTTTGCCGATTACTGAGCCGGTTACCACATTGCCAATCAAAGGATTGTAAAAAAAAAAAAAAAAAAAACACAAGTCATTAGCACGTTTCAATACAAGAGGAATTAAATTCAGTATAATTCAAATGATGAAGAATAACGTATTGTACAACGGTTTCGTTCTCAATAGTGAGATAGCAGGAGAGAAGTTTCGAATTTGAGGGGGTCAATCTGTATAACAAACATTTTTGACAGAAATGTCGCATTATATATGGGATGCGCACTATGCGCAAAGTGCAAAATTATTTTTAAATGTAGAAGCTTTTTATGCCGTGATTCAAACCTGGTATACTTCTATGTACGATTATAGGTATACACAACATTCAATATCTGATTATGTCTGAACTCATTAAGGCTAATACATCTGACTATGTCTAACATCAATAAGGCTAATACGTCTGATTATGTCTGACATTAATAAGGCTAATACATCTGATTATGTCTGACATCAATATGGCTAATACATATGATTATGTCGGCCATCAATAAGGCTTATACATCTGATGATGACTGACATCAATAAGACCAATACGTCTGACTATGTCTGACCTCAATAAGGTTAATACATCTTATTATGTCTGACATCAATAAGGCTAATACATCTAATTATGTCTGACATCATTAAGGCTAATACATCTGATTATGTCTGACATCAATAAGGCTAATACATCTGATTATGTCTGACATCAATAAGGCTAATACATCTAATTATGTCTGACATCAATAAGGCTAATACATCTGATTATGTCTGACATCAATAAGACCAATACGTCTGACTATGTCTGACCTCAATAAGGTTAATACATCTTATTATGTCTGACATCAATAAGGCTAATACATCTGATTATGTCTGACATCAATAAGACTTATACATCTGATTAAATCTGACATCAATAAGGCTAATACATATGATTATGTCTGACATCAATAAGGCTAATACATCTTATTATGTCTGACATCAATAAGGCTAATACATCTGATTATGTCTGACATCAATAACACTTATACATCTGATTATGTCTGACATCAATAAGGCTAATACATATGATTATTTCGGACATCAATAAGGCTTATACATCTGATTATGTCTGAGTTTGGATTATGATTATGTTGACATGTTTACATTTTCTTAATTTTTCTATTGACAAAGATGCTCAGCCTTCTGGAATACCTGGTCTTAATCTCCTTTTTCAACTTTCTACTGATAATTTTCTTTTTGTTACTGTTTCACATTTGACGACGAGCCTTAGAAAAAAACCCAAGAAAAACGGAAAAAAGCTGAGTACAACATGAAATAACACATTTGTTGGGGTCCCCTTGTTATTTATCTCAAACGTTACATCGTTTGTACTTTTGGGTGTCCTTTTCTACATCCTAAAACAACAATAATTTGTTTCAGATTTGACCCTTTTTCGTGATGAATATATACGTTTGTTTGTGCTTTGTCGTGTTTGGTTGTATCCAAGGATTACTGGCAGCCACACCTGTGGACGTAAATGCCAGAACTCTACAGGGTAAGGGCTTTTTTTAACATCACCGGTATGCATCGAATTGTTAAAACTATACGAAATTATAAATAATCCTCGGGTTCGGCCATAGTTGTAATTACATGTTCTATCTATAACTTTTGGGTCAGTAATTATATATAAAGATTCAACAGGGTTAGTAATTACAAGTTAACTATATAAGGTTATTGCTTTTCAATAAACTTCAACAGGGTTAGTAAATACAAGTTAACTATATAAGGTTAATGCTTATCAGTAAGCTTCAACAGGGTTAGTAATTACAAGTGAACTATAAAAGGTTAATGCTTATCAATAAACTTCAACAGGGTTAGTAATTACAAGTTAACTATATAAGGTTAATGCTTTTCAATAAACTTCAATAGGGTTAGTAAATACAAGTTAACTATATAAGGTTAATGCTTTTCAATAAACTTCAACAGGGTTAGTAAATACAAGTTAACTATATAAGGTTAGTGCTTATCAGTAAGCTTCAACAGGGTTAGTAATTACAAGTGAACTATAAAAGGTTAATGCTTATCAATAAACTTCAACAGGGTTAGTAATTACAAGTGAACTATAAAAGGTTAATGGTTATCAATAAACTTCAACAGGGTTAGTAATTACAAGTTAACTATATAAGGTTAATGCTTATCAATAAACTTCAACAGGGTTAGTAAATACAATTTAACTATATAAGGTTAATGTTTATCAGTAAGCTTCAACATGGTTAGTTATTACATTTTATTACTGCAATGTATTTACGGTTAGTAATCTACATCAGATTCACTACAGCTTGTCATTACATGTTATAACTACATGGAGTTAGTGGCTATGAATAAAATTAAACATGGTTAGTAATTACATTTTATCACTACAATGAATACTGGGTTAGTGGCATATATATATATAGGACTGAACACGGTAAGTTATCGCATTGTATCACTTCAACGCGCCTAGGGATAGTGATATAGTCATAACATTCCAAAGGGTGAGTTATTACGTTATAACCATATAGAGTTAGCAATTGTAAATAAGATTTAACAGGGTTAGTAATTACGTTATAATTATATAGAGTTAGCAATTATGAATAAGATTTAACACGGTTAGTAATTACGTTATAACCATATAGAGTTAGCAATTGTAAATAAGATTTAACAGGGTTAGTAATTACGTTATAACTATATAGAGTTAGCAATTATAAATAAGATTTAACACGGTTAGTAATTACGTTATAACCATATAGAGTTAGCAATTATAAATAAGATTTAACAGGGTTAGTAATTACGTTATCGATATATAAAGTTAGCAATTATGAATAAGATTTAACAGGGTTAGTAATTACGTTATAACTATATAGAGTTAGCAATTATAAATAAGATTTAACAGGGTTAGTAATTACGTTATCGATATATAGAGTTAGCAATTATAATTAAGATTTAACAGGATTAGTAATTACGTTATAACTATATGTTGCTTCTGATTGAACAAATTATTGACTAGATTATGTAACTACATATATTGTGATTGTACTTATAACTCGGACTTAACGATAATGGCTGTGACTTCAAATGGCTAGTAAATAGGTATAATTGAATACATGTAAATACATTATTTACAGCTTACGAACATACGTAATATTTGTTAAAACTATGAATTCGGTTTTGTGTAGATATTGAAGACGAGGTGAGAGGTCTCCTAATATTGAAAGTTCTGAATAATGTCAACGCTACTCTCGCCAGACAACAAGCCATGATTCTGGATTGTGAAACCAAAATTAACCAAACCATTGATACATGCGAGACGTGTGTAGCAAGGTAAGACGAACAACACACTATGTACTTAATTACCCGTTACATTGAGCAGGTAATATGTCAGAATGTATGTGAAAATTCTGGTATGGTAATTGTTAATTAAGAAGTACATGGGTACTGGATTCAAACAATGCATAAACAAACTGAAAATCATGAATACGAAACTATCAGTCAGAAATTCAAATTTCATGTGCCAGGAAATTAATGGCACGATGCACTTTCAAGAAATGCACTCTCTCACATCCATGACCAGGTTTTTAACAAAATGGCCGAATCGACTTTCATGGGGATAGTACAGTGCTATTTTCAAATGTGCGTGTGGAAGATGACTCGTATCATTGGTTCTTGCTATTATACTTAGACAGAAAAGTCTTCATAGTATCATCATCTCATATACTGTATACTTCTGTGTCGATACCCTTCACACTGGTAATTTTGTGTGATGGAAGTGACGGTATACTCATTGAAACGCCATTAGAATTTATTAATGGGACTAAATTGTTAGATATTAATTTCATAACTTATAAAAAGCATGATAACATTTAAATATCTGTTAAAACTGTACTTTCTATTTATTATGATATATTAAGGTTTGCATAACAAATTAAGTAGCAGCTTCAAAAACATCAAAATTAAAATAGGAGCGACCCTCACTGTCGTTCGGAGAGGGTAAACAATGTCTTACATCGCGCACTTTTATATTCATATTAATTCAAATTCATTTATTTCGCGTTTAGCGTGAAACAAGAGGTCATTTTACAAAGTAAGAATTGAAACATGACTGACAAATTAATTTTTGGCTAATTGAATAATTATACATATTAACAAATCATATCAAATCGGCGGGTTAAAACGAGGCTCCGAAAGGTCACGTGATGAACTCGGCTTTTTCCGATCAAAACAGTGATGGGTTGTAGACACAACAGCGAGTGTCGACTAGCGTTATTTTGAAGCTGAAAATCTTTATCAATTTCTCTCAGAGAGTGTTACAGTTCTGTGAAGAGACTAATTTCAAGTATTACAATGCTTTCCCGAAATCAAACGCATGGTAAAAAATAACGAAACTTAACCATTTAGTCTCTTTAAAGTGGTTAGGATATAAGAAAATTTATTCCATATACGTTACCATCACGAAGTGAATGTTCTGATATATTATTCTAACCAACCAAATATATGTTATGCCTGTTTTCATATAAGGGAGAATACACCAGGGAGGAAAACATAATGTTTAAAGTATTACTCGTTACTTCAAAAAATGAATTTGAAAACGGATAGCCCCCATCCCTCCCGCACACACAACCTAAAAATTTGAAATGAGTTTCAGTCATTACTTTTCGATTTACAATTATCATTTCAACAACATGTTAACAAATTGTTTTAACAGCAACCCTGGAGTCAACGCACCGTCAGCCGATTTGTTCAGCAGAGTGGTGTCTGAACTTAATAAACCTGTCGTTGCTATGGGGCGTTTTTTCAATGGAGCAAGTCAAGATATAGCGAATCTTGGTGGTATAATGGGAAGCAAAAGTGAACAGTTTGCAACACTCACAACATCTACATTGAAAAATATTGGAACTTTCCTCGGCGGTGAAGCTGAAAAAGCAGTAGCAGAAGTTAAGAAGGCGTTGAACACCGCCGGACGAAAATTCTCAGATCTTGGTGCCGCTATTTCAAACGCCATAGATACTTCCGGTGGTTTTGTTAATGGTGTTACAAAGTTCGGAGCTTCAACTATTTCTAAACTGAATAGTCTCCCTGATCTGCTTTCATCTGGAGCAACTTCCGCTTTGAGTGGTCTAAGGAATGTTGTGTCGTCACTTCCGAATGTTGGTACTCAAATCGTCGGTGGACTGACTGACTTAGGAAACAGCATCGGAGGTAGAACAATATTGCACATTATTTATGATGCCGATTGAACTGAGTTTGATTCATGAATATAGAAGAAATAATTTTCAAATCATTTTTTAAAGTATATCATTTTCATATAGATCTAGGACCTAATATAGGCCAACAACTGCTACATACTTCTCGCGGTAATAACTTTTTTGACATCTCACAGGAACAAGAAAGCATGGGTCTCAATTGTCATATTGGTACTAAATCTTGAGTGGAAACGTGTTTGTCGCACAACAGCAATACCTATAGATGTCTAGTTTGGGGGATTGATCGGTTCTGCTCTGTCGACCTTAGGTGTGGACCAAAATATATGAGAATTCAAGTTATTTTCGCTAATATTAAACTAGTTGTTTGTTCATTGTCAATCATTTTACGACTTCAATGACACCAGAATTCATTGCTGATACCGGCAAATTTGTTTCTTATTTACATTGAAAAAATCGCTCGAGCGGAGAGCGGCGAACTTTGCTTTCGTTTTGAGACAACTGCAGACAAAATACCAAGACTATTTATATACTAACAGAACTTTATTAATTTGCAATGTAGAATATAGAAATATATCTGTGATCCGATTTTGGTCCACACATTTATAAAGTCAAATTGGTGACGTCAGGGCATTTCATAAATACCCTTCGCATAAAAACTTTGTAAATATCACTCAATAATTTTCTTTTGAAATGTTCATAGTTCATCCTCTTACTTTGTTTATAGTCATCCTCTTACTTTTCAATAAATGAAGAAATTGACGACTTGATGGTCCGATTCAGATACCGTCACCTTATTTTATCTCCAAATACCATTATCACAGATTTTCAACAGGTGTTTATTTTATTTGTCGATTTTAACTGCCTTCTTTTTGTTTGCTTGTTTTGAATTATTATTATCTTTGTTAATTTATTGTTTATTTTGGTACTTTTACCCTTTTATTTGTATAATTTGCTTATTACAGGGTTTTTCTCTGGGAGACGTAGACGGTCCACTGACCTTTTAAGCAGAATGAGAAGACATACAGCCGCCTTATGTCCCGAGTGCGATAAAATTGACATCACCACCAAGACTGAGGCAGAAATATTTCAGTCTGGTACGCATTAATCTTATACTACCATATCCCTTATAAAGAATTGAGGTCTGACTGTCTGCAAACAAAAATGATGTATCACGTGACATCCAAAAGACTTTAAATTGTCTGATACTATCATATCTCTTTTAAAGAATTGAGGTCTGACCACCTGCAAAAAAATAATGTATCACGTGACATCCAAAACGTTTTTAATTGGCTTAAAGACATATTCAACTTATTCGTCCATGTTTTTATTCATCTGGTGGTTTCATGTAGATAATCCATATGTGTTTCATGCAACACCAGTATAAAAAAAGTGTTGAAGTACAACAAAATATCTGGTGTTAGCATAAAACTTACTGTTTGTTTGTTTTGATATTGCTTCTGTTTTGATTTATCGAAACAATAAATAATACTATTTCCTATTTTTTGATAATATCAAATTGTCCTGTTACTATATTGTATATTCATATCCTCAATTACTTTGAACAGTTTGTGGAGCTACGTTTACAACTCAACAACAACAGATTGTGGACGAACTATCTAGGATGACCAAGTTATATAAGTGGTCTAAGACGCTGACCAACTCCATCCTCAGTCAGGTCAGTGTTGAAATACTTGTTTCATCCATTGTGATTAAGGACTGATCACAAACCTTCTAAATCAAAGAGTCGATGACATCTCTGTGATATCTAACTATAATAAATATGTATTTGTCATAATGAACCATTTCATAATCATATAATGATTTAACGCTATTTCGACCGTCTGTTTGTACAGGGAATAGGGCTGTTCTCAAGGTCTTATGTAGCATCACGTCTCAGACGTGTTTGATGCTCGTAAGTATGCCTAGTGGTTCTCCTGACATTGTAATATAATCTTAACTTGATTGTAGATATCCTACGACAACGACCAGCTGGATTACTCAAGAATTGCTGATCAGATTCTCAACGTTTCTCCGCTTAATGTGACGTTCACTGTAGGAACAGTCCCTCAGACCTACCAAACCGACATTAACCTCAACATCTTCGATCCTACCCAGGTGGCGCCCCAAATCGCTGACGAAATTTACGCCAATGCATAACTATAACTTCACCATAAATGAGAAGGGACAAAGATTTATTTTTGGCATGCTGAACTGCGATATTCGATATATATATTTCATTTGTGTACACAAGTTTCATATTTATGGTTGAGAATTTATATGCTGAAGTTTTCAAAATTAACAAAAGTGCCATATCCATGATAATACGATATTATTCATGCAATGAAGCGTGTACGTAAAAAATACGAGTATATAAATAGTGTTTTGTTTTCAATTAAATTATGTGATTAGGTATACATGCTTACATCTCAATGTAAATATCTGTAAATAGGAGTAGAGGAAGATTAATGTACGTTGTATGTTTACAATTAATTTTGATGAGTGTGTTCTACGTCATAATAAGCTATGTGTATTACGTCATACGTAATACCTATTGCTTTAGTGTGTAAATAGATAAATAAAGCGTGTACTAGTCATTAATAAACGTCATTACAGAAACGTTAAAGTGAGACGTCACGATCTACATCAAACTACGTCATCAGTGATAACTACTGATACAGTATTTACTACAGCAATGTCGTCTTTACTGATACAAAGAATGACGTCACTGATACAGTGCATTACGTCACTGATTGAGTCTGTATGACGTCGTTGAAAGTGTGAATGATGTGACTGATACAATGTATGATGTCACAGATACATTGTGTATGATGTCACTAATATGGTGCATGATGGCACTGATAAAGATTTATAACGTCACTGATAGCGCCGGTATGACGTCGCTGATAGTGTGTTTGATCTGACTGATACAATGTATGATGTGATTGACAGAGCCTGTATGATGTCACTGATATAGTGTATGATGTCACTGATACAGTGTATGATTTCACTGATATAGTGTGTACGATGTCACTGTTACAGTGTATGATGTCACTGATACAGTGTATGATGTTACCGATACATTGTGTATGACGTCACTGATACAGTGTGTTGATACGATAAATATATATTGTACTACGTCAATAATTATTCTCATGACTGATAGTGTGTATAGTGTGTATGACCTAACAATTTACATCGTACAAGATCATTAGAAAACATTGATTGTATCATATCAATTTTCTGTTAAGTTTGTATTACGTACGCCTATATAATCCAGTTGTCTTCGCTTGCATATGTTAGCTGAATAATACAAAGTTATATAAAAATGCTTTTTGTTTTGAATCATCTATGTCAAATTGGAGCCAACGTATGTAGATAAGCACTTGTTAACTAATCTGACTTACGTTTGGGTTACTGGAGAAACACCGCAGTCTGCCATTGATCCTTAAAAATGCGGAAATATCAACGTTATTACTTTTGAAAGCATTTGCTAAATATTCAAGCACGGCCTTATTTCCAATCCAATGCTATATTAGCTGGCCTTATTTGCAATACAGTGCTATACTACTCAGCCTTATTTCAAAACCAATGCTTTTAAGTCATATTTTCAATCCAATGATATATCATTTGGCCATATCTCCAATCCCGTGGTGAATGAGTCAGCCTTATTTCTGATCCAATGCTGTATGAGTCAGCCTCATTTCTGATACAATGGTGAATGAGTCAGCCTTATTTCTGATACAATGCTGTATGAGTTGGCCTTATTTCCGATCCAATGTCGTTATGAGTCAACGTTACTTCCAATGCGACATAAGTCATATTTATTTTCAATTCTATAATTGTCAAAGTAAGCTACCAGAATGACGTCAATACAAGATAATCAGTTAGAAATGAGATGTTAGAAATTATATCGGCAATAACCAGGAACGGGGTTTATATATCCTGTTATCATCGGATCGGTTTTTTTTTGCAAAAAACCCCAGCATATTTCAGTATACCTGTAAATGTATACCTTATTCTGATGTACTGCGAATTTCACATCAGATTATGAAGGATTGTATAAAAGACGCGCAACAAAATATGATATTTTAATACGAGAAATGACTACAACGTATGCCGTCTCATGAATACAACCCATCATAATAAATGCTATGGACTGAAAGTGTGCAAATCAAGATGGCGACGGAATAGAAACAAAAGAGTCCGAGACACACGTTGAAAACATAGAAACATAGAACATAGGTAGTTGAATGGGTGAAAAAATATAAAACTTTATCATTACATACCTGCCAGTGTGTAATAATTCTCGTGCTGATTTACGAGAACTGCGGGCAATTCCAAATTACGGGAATATATTTTTACAGTGCAGCACGGAGGCATGTTATTTCAACATTTTCTCTCCATTTTCTGGTTTTAATCAGAGTTGTGTTGCGTTGTAGACTTGGATTTTGTTGGGGAATCAGTACCACAACATGTGTCATATCTTTCAAAGTTTTATTGCAATCTCACTTTTTTGTTCTTCCATACAAAAAGAGTTCCCACTGTGGGAACGAACACTAACTAAAAATGGAGTTACTTCCCCTTTGAACATCACTAACATAATTATATCCGCATCGGCCAGAATCATGGCCAAATGGTGTTGTATTCTATCACATTTCTTCATATATAGATATAAACGGTATTCACTTGTGTGTGTTTTGTACCAAACTTAATCTTTTGCGTTGTGGAAAAGACAGAATAAATTAGATCATACACTATATCTATAACGTATTCCAGTCGTTGTTTTGTATTGATAACATCCAAACCATTAACCGCCCGAACCAATCAAATTTGTAACAAATTACAGCAACACGTTGTATCTTTTTTTTAGAAAATTATCAAAACCTAAATATAGTCAAGTTTTTTTCTTCTTTTTTTATATTAAGTCATTGAATTTTTTGAAAATTATTTTTGTTTTTTTTCATCTTTTTTATATAAAGTCATAAATATCCCTACTTAATCAAATGAAAATATTAATGAAATGATATATATCACATATATATAAATATACTTCCCTTTTCACTTCCTGGATTCCTTCTGCACAGGCAAGGACGCGTCTCCGGCATGATGCCTTTGGTAATGTCTCTGCTGATTCCGTCTCTAGGCTAGATATCACAGCATCGCATTGATTTCTGAAATATCAAACGAATAATTGACAGCAATAGAACTATAGATAGAATGCTTGTAATTGTTGTCGTTAATTCAGTCATTAATTAATCCGTCACCGTATTTTGTTTTTAAATGTCAAACAACACTTTTGCAACATTTACATTGAAAATTGTTCAGTCCATACAAATCACGCAGCATTTTCACACAAATGAGCAAATGACCAATAACAAACGTTCCAGTGTATACTACACGTTACATATAGGCAAAGATCTTACATGGAAAAAAATTCACTGGATAACAGGCGGGTTGTGATAAAAGGGTATATTCACTGAATAGACCTTAACCTTTGACATGCACAACTGAAAAAAATCAACAAACACTTTCTGATTGGGAGTAATTTATTAAAAGTGACTTTGACCGTCATTTGAAACACCCAACAGATTTTACATTTAAAGCAATAATGATGTTAGTCTTTGGCGTCCTGACCTAAAATGCACTGTACGATGTTTGGGTGATATCACGCCATGTTAATTCAAATTCTCTCACGGAAGCATTTGAGAAGACGAAGCACGCTTCCCAAAATGTATCCGTTGGTTTTGTAGATGGGAGGAGAACTGCTGTCATCTTTTGTCAGTTGTCTTTCCTGTGTAAATCTAATGGAAAATGTACTTGTGGTCTTTGATGAAATCCTCCATGTGGCATCGCTTTTGGGACGACATTTTGAAACTAGATGTATTAACTCAGACTAAACTTGTACTTCCGGTTCAAAAAACAATAACGGAAATAATTTTCTACTGTTATGCATAATACGAATTTTGATATTTCTGTTCAAGACGAGATTCTTTAGAAAATTTAATGATCTGAAACTAAAAGCAAAAACTACATTATATTTTGATAATATAAAATACATAGGAAACCCGATGTGGAATGCCGGTTGCAAATTGGTGGTGATCGTACTTATGGCGGGCATTGAAATATTGGCCTTTGTCAAAGCTCAATTACTTTGCTTAAGTTATGAACTTTTTGTGACAACATAATAAATCGGTAAGGAGTGGAAATATATTTAATAGTTTATCGAAAGAAGAAAGTTGAAAGAAAGACCTAGAGTATGAAGATCACACATAGATATTATCGAATTCTGAGGTAGGTCTAGTTAAGCATCTTTATCACCAATATTTAACCGGAGAGCTTTTGATCGCACGTGAGACTTTGATGACACTTGAGCCTTTGAAGACACGTGAATATTTGACGACACGTAAGCCTTTGACGACACGTGGATATCTGATGACACCTGAGCCTTTGATGGGCACGTGAGTCTTTGATGACACGTGAATATTTGATGACACGTGAGCCTTTGATGGGCACGTGAGTCTTCGATGACACGTGAATATTTGATGACACGTGAGCCTTTGACGACACGTGAACAGTTTTTGACAAGTGAGCGTTTGAAGACACGTGAAAAGCTTCATAGGCTTAAAAAATTAGGCACTTAACATCATTGATGAGTCCTAGAGGGGCGAAACAATTGTATGATGTAGTCTAATTCAGTTTGGGCTAGGCCATATTATGTCTAATTCTAAATTTGTAAAATTGAACGTTTCAACCGCTCACACTATTGGAACAATGCCCGGTTCGTAATTGAGGAATTCAATGGTGCGATACTTTAAGATATTACTTTAGACAAAAAAACAAAAACAAAAAACAAAAAAACTAAGTGGATGGGATTCCTGTGTATCATAAAGTTCCAAGAAGATAAACACTCTGTTCGCAGGGACTTCCTATTATACCCTCCCTTCCAACTTTCTCACATTTTGTGTTATTAGGGGTCATGTTCTGTAAGAAGATTTGGAAAATTCCCAAAAATGTCTCTTCATGATATTTCGCCATGTTTTTTCCCCATGTATCATGTGCTACTGATCATAACGTTGCTTCTTTTCCTCACACCCCTTTCGTCATCCGTCACAGTACATCACACCCCTTTCGTCATCCGTCACAGTACATCACGCCCCTTTCGTCATCCGTCACAGTACATCACACCCCTTTCGTCATCCGTCACAGTACATCACACCCTTTCGTCATCCGTCACAGTACATCACACCCCTTTCGTCATCCGTCACAGTACATCACACCCTTTTCGTCATCCGTCACAGTACATCACACCCCTTTCGTCATCCGTCACAGTACATCACACCCTTTTCGTCATCCGTCACAGTACATCACACCCTTTTCGTCATCCGTCACAGTACATCACACCCCTTTCGTCATCCGTCACAGTACATCACACCCCTTTCGTCATCCGTCACAGTACATCACACCCCTTTCGTCATCCGTCACAGTACATCACACCCCTTTCGTCATCCGTCACAGTACATCACGCCCTTTTCGTCATCCGTCACAGTAAATCACACCCCTTTCGCCATCCGTCACAGTACATCACACCGCTTTCGTCATCCGTCACAGTACATCACACCCCTTTCGTCATCCGTCACAGTACATAGTGCTAGCTCTCTGCTTACGATCTCTCATTTGGTTACTATCACTATTTCACTTTCTCAAGAATTTCTTTATTTTGATAAAGTTGTTTTGATTTCTTTTTCTTTTTTTTTTCGCTTCTTAACAATGATTTCTTTTTTTATTTTCTTGCTAGCGATATTTAATGCATTTCTCTTGACCATTCCAGTCGGTCAGCTATGGACAGATGGATGTATTTTCTTATCCCATGGCAATAATCTGACACCTAACATAAGGCGAGATTACATCTTGTGCGAATAGTAAAGTTTATTATCTACTAGCGAGTATATAGTTCTTAACAGCTATATTCCCATTATATAAAAAAAAGTCTGACTCTCCTCATGGAGGGTGTGTTAATGTTCACTCAAAATAAAAAACGATACCAGCATTGTTTTAAAAGGATGGCTATATAGCTTCCCATTCAACAAAGCAAACAGGAAAATGTTGGGAAACGTTTCATTTTCGGATTAGTGAAACTTTGTCTTTTATTTTGTACTTTTTAAACTACAGTATAATATTAAAATATTTTTACAGTTGTAGCGTGGCAACGGTGTTGGTTTGGGGGATTATACTCAGACTTGGCTGATCGAGGACAACACGTTCCAGCTCTGTTCATCCATTTTATTCTCTCGTTAAAAACAGTTACAAAACCGGTCACAGAAATAATCCGCAAACAATAAAATCCGGAAAACTCACTATGAAGGGAGACAACTCGTACTGTCTTATAGCATGATCATCCGCCTAGCCATATCATAACCATAACACAGTACATAGTTGGTTTGCTGTCAGTCAGATGTATTTGGATTAAAATGATCCAGGAAAAAACCCTGAATTGTAACATCTTCCAAATGGCCCCTTAATTTCCTTTTGTCATTCTTATATTTCGGAATTTCTCACTGTTTTTTTTTTCTTTTTACAATAACACTACAAAGGTTCAAAACAAAATCAAAATAATTTCAAAAATAATTTTATTCTTATAAAATGTAGCCATTAATTATCACAGTCTGTTTATCACGTATTATCATCATCATAACAAAAATGATTTTTCTGTCATTATTATCAATTAACCATATATTTAATTTTTGCATACTTTATATTTTCTGATTTCAAAAGGTATCAAAAATGAGACATTCCCACACATAAATATCACCGGGTTGTCAATCAAAACATATTGATTCATTTTTTAAAGAATTTTCGGAGTTTCTTGGATTGCCCAAAGTTCAAAACTGTCGATTTCAGGTTTTCATCCAAGGCCTTTTTTTTCAAAATAATTTGAAATTCATTACAAATTTAATGTCACATTAACAACTACATAGAAATTTCTGTTTAATACCTGCCTATACTCCTACTTTTCAAACCCAATGTAAGTCTAGTGATTTATTTATTATTAGTAGTAGTATAGCACCATTCTGCATATATAGAGTGTCTTAAATTGGTCTAGGGTACACATGATCAAGAATTAATGATTTTCTTCGATTGGCAAGAAAATATTGGAAGTTCTTACATAATGACTATGAAAGAAAAATGAAAGAAAAAGTGCAGAGGAGAGAGTAAGTTGAATTCCCACACTAGATCCTTTTGTGTTTCTGTTGTGGACAGTGCCAATTGCTCAAAGTTCTTTTAAATGATATTCTAAATTTTAAAGAAATTTTCTCCAGATTATCTGCAACAAATGTATTGCATTGACTAGAACCTTGTTCATACAAGAAAACAAGTCACTTTTTGCACAATTTTTGAGTAGCCACACAGATGGATCTTATAGTTGAGATTTCTTCTGCATGAGTTTCTTCGTTTGATAGTAGTTATTGGGGTTCGAAAGCCAGTGTCCACCATCAGCTATGAGGACTGTGCCAGTGACCAGTTGAGCTGCGTCACTGACCACATACAGGACAGTGTTACCCATTTCTTCCCTTGTTCCCATCCTCTGTATTGGTATACCCTTCACATACTCATCATTAATTCTGCCACGGCCTGTAACATACAGAATACTTAATTTGTATAAAGCACTTAATCCTAATTCGAGAGCTCACACACAGAATCTGGTAATTGTTTGTTTTTGAGTGTATAAGACATTCCATCTCCAAATAAGGGTAGAAGAATGTGAAGACTCTCATTTTTCATCTTGATGACTCAGATTCAATCCCCTCAATCAGACTTCGAAATATATGAGGAGAGCTGTTTAATGTTTTCTCAGAGTTAATCATTACCCTCTGTACTTTTCCATCAAAGCCAGCAAATGTTAAATATAACTCAATATAATTGTTATAAAATTATTTTCAATACAGTTTAATATCATTTTTATCCAACAATAAGCCCATGCCAGGTAAGATCACCATATCTACAACTTTTCAATTAATATCTTAAATATTTAATTTCGTTGGCCTGCATTAAACCCACCTCTGTCTTTGAGTCAAATTTAATATGCCGATTTCCTTTGTGTATTCCAGTATAAGTACTTAAAGTACTCAGCCATTTATGTATATCATATTTGTTAACCCGTGTAAATTTGTAAGTAATTTTTCATGTGAAATCCTTACTTCTGGATTTTGCACAAACTCTGTAAATTAAAACATTATTCAAGTTCTGAAGACAACACAAACATTTTCACAAAAAAATTCCTCATTCATTTCTAATACTGAAGTTGACAGGCATGGTATCTATCAAGCTCATTAAACAACGGAAATGTGTTGTGCCTTCTGTAGCAGGAGAGGTAACTGATGTAATGTTTTCAAAGTGAATTTCACACTCACATCTGAATCAAACAACAATACCTGTGTACATAAAACATTCCCTTCATTCTACTTAAAGATCTGGTGAGATCTCAATTCTCGTTTTCTGAATGTCTAGCTGGTAGTGCCCAAAATTCTTCCTAATACAACTTGTATGTACCAAAACTAACAAAATGATTTCACAAATTACTTTATTGATTCTTGTTAAATGCCAACAATCACAATATCACAGTTTGCTTACATAACATTTAAATAATCATCATTAGTTCTGTAATATAAATATTATGTACCTACCAAACTGCTTCTAATATATTAACAAGTGCTGGAATATGGATACAAATTGTAGCACTGATGGATTATTAAAAGGTATGATAATATTGGAAAGCAGATCCATGATTTTATTTACTGTTTGGGATGTATAGAGTGAGTTCAGTTTGATAAAAAAATTCCAGGTATAAAGGTAATGATGGATCTGAACAATGCATTGCTTCTGAACACTCCGGGTATTATGAGGTACAGGCTGCATGGCTGGGGGCTAGGAGAGCAAGATTTATTTTGTCCTCAAATATATACAAAATTTTTTTTAAATTACTGGCAAATTTGGTCAATCAATTCTCAGTCTTTATTGGTTTCCTTTTGCTAATGTTACTGGTATAATGATATACAAAAGTATGTATAACACAGTCTGGCGTGTGTAACCAATGAATATGCTTTCAACTTTTGTAGGAAACAAATGTTAACAAAAGTCACATATTCATACAATTCTTTTGTTTAACTAAATCTACAGAAGTGACTTTTTCTGCATAAATTTCTTTGTTTGATAGTAGTTATTGGAGCTGGAAAGCCAGTCTCCACCATCAGCTATGATGACCGTGCCAGTGACCAGTTGAGCTGCGTCACTGACCACATACAGGACAGTGTTACCGATGTCTTCCCTCGTTCCCATCCTCTGTATTGGTATACCCTTCACATACCCATCATTAACTCTCCCACCACCTGTAACATATAAAATACTTCAGTGCTCCATCTGGTGGTTAAATCACAAGATTCCTTATATTACAGCCATCGGAAAACAAAGCTGTCGTCACTGACATTAATCATCAGTCTTGTTGGCCCGAATGAAAGTTCATGATCAGTCTTTCTGTAAGAGATACTTGGACAAAAACCACGGTTGTCAAGGTGATAGGTGGGTACAATACCAACCGACCATTCCATATATAGAGAGGAACGAGACCTAATTTTAGTGTTGGACATTCCCCGGCTCCAAAAAGAACACGCAAGCAAAATTTTGTACATTTAGATAAAAAGGTATATGTTTATCGCATATGTCCTGACCAAGTGTTAAATCGTTGAAAGAAGGAGTTGAAACCTAATTCTCTCAAGCAGTCCTGGTTGAGAACTAATAATGAAATGCAAAGAATGAATGTTAACTACAGAACAATCAGTACTTTAAAATGCTGAGAAGACTTACTCAGTCGCCTCATGCCTTCGGTGTCTTCTATTGGTCCAGGTGCTACACACATCACTCTCACTCCATCCATACCCCATTCTACTGCCATATGTTTAGTCATAGCCTCTACAAAATGCAAACATATGTATCAGAACTTGATATTTAACTTTTTATGTACTGTAAACTCAAGTCTATACAACATAAACTTAAAATGCTTGCAGATGATGCTGAATTCCTGAGAATTCAGGTGATAAGATTACCTATTGCAGCCTTAGCGGACCCAGCATGAGCCTGGAGTACCTGTCCACGTGTCTGTAGTGTAGCTGTGATGTTGACAATAACTCCACCATGGTCCTACAGAGAGAAAGTTCCTTTCGATGTCATAAGAGTCAAACATTGTACAATGCATATTTAGAATATTATCATTATATTTTTTTGTTGTAATCATATAGACTGATCAGTAATAATAGGATCACTGGAAATTTGAAGAATCCATATCAACCAACGACCAAGAGGTCACTCAAGTCAATTCACTTCCTTCAATTATGATTTTACATACACTTATCTGGGGTTACATCCTTACGAAAATTAATTCAAAACAAAACAAGAAAAAAGAAAAATATATATATATATATGAAAAACCAGGTAAATGATGTTTCATATTGGACTAACTGTACTGTATAAATGTTTTCTACTTAATCTATGAAGGTAATATTTGGTATATGAAAAAAATATGATAGATAGGATACCATCGTATCTGAAATCATATTAATCAGTTCCATTGTATTTTTGGAAAAATCCAAATAAATTGGAAATATCTTGTATAAATGATTAATATAAAAGATTGCTTTTTTTTTTTTTTTTTTTTAAGTTTTTGCAATAAAAAATTTCTTTCTCTGTTGGTTATATTTTCAATGTATCATTTTTTTCACAATATTATTCCACATTACAAAAAATATTTTCCTTTGAATATACAATCTTCTAAAACTGCTTACCTTCATGTATTTCTCATAGATGACTTTGCTGACGTTAAATGTACCATGGGCATCAATTTCCATGACAGTTTTGAAGGCATTAAATGACAGACCAGTTATAGGTGACAGAAAATTACCAGCAGCACCTTAAATAATAAAACAGAAAGAAAAAAAATAAAATTATTTCTGTGAATTCCTGTATTTATATATGTGTAGTTCAATGTGCTTCACAAAATATTTATAATATCCTTGAAGGTTTGGACAAAATTGCAAAGTTATGTTAATCTTTTTTTGAGCAATGATTAGTTGTCAAATTCACAACAATACTATCATTGATCAGCAAAAACAAAAAAGGCTTATTTACTTCATTGGTTAAGTAGTTATTTTAAGATAATTTTTCACAATATTTGCATCCCCATGAGTTATCTACCCTCCCCATTTGGAGTGCTGTGACTATATTTGTGTACTGATACACAAAAAGAACAACTTCTGTAGTAGATGACACAAACTTTAAGTTCTGAGAATATAAAGCATATACAATAAGTGACATATACATACCATTAATTAGGTAGTCTATTCTACCAAACTCTGACAATGCTGTGTCTGCAGCTTTCATAATGGATTCAGGCTGTACAGAAAATAATGAAAAAAACCTGTACATTTCAGCAAAACAAATTTGGAGAGTCTTTATTTTAGTATAAAACATAAAGGTATATATCTGTTTAAGAAAACAAATAAAAATGTTAGAAGGAAAAAAAATGGAGAGAGAGATGAAATGAAAATAATGAATAAAAAAAGAAAGAATGATGAACAGAAAGAGAAAGAAAGAGGAAAGCTATAAAATAAAGATTCAGCACAATTTGAAACATTTTGAGGAAAGACAGTTGCCAAATGAATGATGAACCTTAACTTACGTATTTTCCGTGCCTCCCTACTGATTTATATCACAGAACTGGAACATGGTCAAATTTACGAACTCATCACTAACTTGATAGAAACAAAGCAAACCAGGCACAAAAGTGATACCTTTTAAGGGAGGTGCCATTGGGAGAGAAAAATAGTAAAATAATAAAAAAAATAAACTTTTAATATCTGTAGGAATTGGCTTATCTGCCCTTGGAAACTGTTTACATTTATTACGTATTGATTGTGTTATGATATCAAATGAGCGCCATCTTCACTACTTCAGGGGTCCAATCCAACGTATTAGTGCCCTGATGAAGTTTCTGTATCTGCGGCAATACTGGTCAGCCAATGAATTACCCACTTACTGGTGACAAGAGTTGTGATTGAAACTTACTTGGATTAATTCTGGTAACTAGTTGTAATGGACAAAAAAACCCCAAAAAACCCCAATTAAATAAAAAAAATCTTTAAGAGGAACATTTTGAAATTACAGAGTGACACATACTGTTCTGACATCCATCTGTACAGGGACACACCTCCGACCTGTTGCTTTGGACAATGTCTCTGCCGATTCCCTCAATTTGTCCATTTTACGACTACATATCACTGTATCACACTGATGTCTGAAAAATCAAAGCCACAGCAAATGCACGTAGGTAATACCATTATACCAAATACATACCATTATACCAAATACACACGGCTAATACCAAATACACACAGCTAATACCACACACAGCTAATACCACATACACACAGCTAATACCAAATACACAAAGTTAATACCAAATACACACGGCTAATACGAAATACACATAGTTAATACCAAATACACACGGCTAATACCAAATACACACAGTTAATACCAAATACACACGGCTAATACCAAATACACACGGCTAATACCACATACACACGGCTAATACCAAATACACACGGCTAATACCAAATACACACGGCTAATACCACATACACACGGCTAACACCAAATGCACATGACTATTACCAAATACACACGGCTAATACCAAATACACACGGCTAATACCTAACACACAGCTAATACCAAATACACGCTGCTAATACCAAATACACATAGCTAATACCAAATACACAGAGTTAATACCAAATACACACGGCTAATACGAAATACACATAGCTAATACGAAATACACAAGGCTAATACCAAATACACACGGCTAATACCAAATACACACGGCTAATACCACATACACACGGCTAATACCAAATACACACGGCTAATACCAAATACACACAGTTAATACCAAATACACACAGCTAATACCAAATACACACAGTTAATACCAAATACACACAGCTAATACCACATACACACGGCTAATACCAAATACACACGGCTAATACCACACACATGGCTAATAACAAATACACACGGCTAATACCAAATACACACGGCTAATACCAAATACACGATGCTAATACCAAATACACACGGCTAATACCAAATACACGCTGCTAATACCAAATACACATAGCTAATACCAAATACACAGAGTTAATACCAAATACACACGGCTAATACCAAATACACACGGCTAATACCTAACACACAGCTAATACGAAATACACACGGCTAATACCAAATACACATGGCTAATACCACATACACACGGGTAATACCAAATACACACGGCTAATACCAAATACACACGGCTAATACCTAACACACAGCTAATACCAAATACACGCTGCTAATACCAAATACACATAGCTAATACCAAATACACAGAGTTAATACCAAATACACACGGCTAATACGAAATACACATAGCTAATACGAAATACACAAGGCTAATACCAAATACACACGGCTAATACCAAATACACACGGCTAATACCACATACACACGGCTAATACCAAATACACACGGCTAATACCAAATACACACGGCTAATACCAAATACACATGGCTAACAAATACAAATATACACGGCTAATACCAAATACACACGGCTAATACCAAATACACATGGCTAATACCAAATACACACGGCTAATCACGGCTAATACCAAATACACACGGCTAATACCACACACATGGCTAATACCAAATACACGCTGCTAATACCAAATACACATAGCTAATACCAAATACACAGAGTTAATACCAAATACACACGGCTAATACGAAATACACACGGCTAATACGAAATACACAAGGCTAATACCAAATACACACGGCTAATACCAAATACACACGGCTAATACCATATACACACTGCTAATACCAAATACACACGGCTAATACCAAATACACACGGCTAATACCACATACACATGGCTAATACCAAATACACACGGCTAATACCAAATACACACGGCTAATACCACACACATGGCTAATACCAAATACACACGGCTAATCACGGCTAATACCAAATACACACGGCTAATACCACACACATGGCTAATAACAAATACAAACGGCTAATACCAAATACACACGGCTAATACCAAATACACACGGCTAATACCAAATACACACGGCTAATACCAAATACACACGGCTAATACCACATACACATGGCTAATACCTAATACACATGGCTAATACCACACACTGCTAATACAAAATTCACACAGCTAATACCACATACACATGGCTAATACCAAATACACACGGCTAATACTAAATACACACGGCTAATACGAAATACACACGGCTAATACCAAATACACATGGCTAATACCACACACATGGCTAATATCACACACATGGCTACTACCAAATACACGCGGCTAATACCAAATACACACGGCTAATACCAAATACACACGGCTAATACCAAATACACACGGCTAATACCAAATACACACGGCTAATACCAAATACACACGGCTAATACCAAATACACTCTGCTAATACCAAATACACGCTGCTAATACCAAATACACATGGCTAATACCACACACAGCTAATACAAAATTCACACAGCTAATACCAAATACACATGGCTAATACCAAATACACACGGCTAATACCAAAATCACACGGCTAATACCACACACATGGCTAATACCAAATACACACGGCTAATACCACACACATGGCTAATACCAAATACACACGGCTAATACCAAATACACTCTGCTAATACCAAATACACACGGCTAATACCAAATACACACGGCTAATACCAAATACACACGGCTAATACCAAATACACTCTGCTAATACCAAATACACACGGCTAATACCAAATACACTCTGCTAATACCAAATACACACGGCTAATACCAAATACACTCTGCTAATACCAAATACACGCTGCTAATACCAAATACACATGGCTAATACCACACATATGGCTAATACCAAATACACATGGCTAATACCTAATACACACAGTTAATACCTAACACACGGCTAATACCAAATACACGCTGCTAATACCAAATACACATAGCTAATACCACATACACATGGCTAATACCTAATACACATGGCTAATACCACACACTGCTAATACAAAATTCACACAGCTAATACCACATACACATGGCTAATACCAAATACACACGGCTAATACCAAATACACACGGCTAATACCAAATACACACGGCTAATACCAAATACACATGGCTAATACCACACACTGCTAATACAAAATTCACACAGCTAATACCACATACACATGGCTAATACCACACACTGCTAATACACACGGCTAATACCAATACCACATACACACAGCTAATACACACTGCTAATACAAAATTCACACAGCTAATACCACATACACATGGCTAATACCACACACTGCTAATACAAAATTCACACAGCTAATACCACATACACATGGCTAATACCACACACTGCTAATACAAAATTCACACAGCTAATACCACATACACATGGCTAATACCACATACACATGGCTAATACCACATACACATGGCTAATACCACATACACATGGCTAATACCACATACACATGGCTAATACATAATATCAAAAGATGTCCACACAGGGAAAATTGAGTCTATTTACAGTCCATATTACAGTATTTTTTAAAAATATTTACAGGCTACAGCTTTTACCATAGACTTCAATCTGCACTTTTTACTTACCTCATGAACACCTCAGCAATGGTGAAGCATATCCCTGTTCCTCCCCCAGTGATGAAGGCAACTTTTCCTCTGAAATAACATTATCCTGATACTTATTTTCTAAGCAGTAAGTCTTTCCTTCAAATTGTGATAAATGTTGCAAATTGCTGGTTTTTTTCATGCTATAACATGTTGCCAACTTTTTGAAATTTCTATGATGCAGGTTCAAAACAGAAAGACTCAGGAAATACAAAGACAAAGAAATGTTCTACAAACAAATATGTTCCTAAAACCTACATGTCGATTCAGCTACATTTCTGGTGGACGAAATATGCTTTCAGAATTTGCATTACCCCCTAGTAATTACTTCTATATCCTATTACACTACACCAATATTAAGTTAACAAACACAAACATAAGATTTGAGGTCTAATTATGTTCTAAAGACGAAATGTGAATAAATTCTTTCTTTTGATTAAGGACTACTTTCCTAGATTCTACACCAGTACATATTGATAGACTAAAGAAATCTTTTTAAAGTGTACGCATTAACATTACAGGTAAATCGTCTATCTCATTATCTCGCCACATGAACTAGATATTGCTCCCAGTTCCAGTTATTGACCCCGATGCAAAGACAATTTCGTTCACGTTCGATTTTCCTATATTTACATGTTAATGCCTCATTGACAGTTTGCCTGCTGATATCTTAATAACAGATAAAATCTAACATTTAAAGTATTCAGCAAAATAAGAAGCAATGTTTCGCCAAGCCAGCAGTTACATTCTTTAATTTCTTATTTCATACACGAAGACCTACAGGTAATGAAGGTACGCCCGAACTAGTTATCTTGGTCAGTGCTTTTCAGTGTTGACTTTTTACCCACCTGAGTAACTCTGGCTGGAAGATATACTTGTAATCTTTGATGCATTCCTCGACGTAGGACGGCTTCTGAGACATGACTATAGCGACTAGATGTCCGACTAGACAAGGGTGTTGAGGAACTATGGACTGTGTCAGGTGAAATTATTTACACGGAAGTAGCCCAACACGTGCTTCCGGTTCGAAAGGGTACCGCCCACCCACTCTGTTTTCAAGTTAATGTGGTTCTTGGTGGGCGTCCTTCTACTTCTAGGAAAGTTTATAGTAGTTTTAATCCTTTTTATTACTATAATTTTGCACTGAACAATTTTTACAATGTACATTCCAAGTCCACGTGTAAAAGTTTTACTGGGATGTGCCTTTCGCTGATTTACATATTAATCCGTGATCTGATCACTAACAGTCGAACATTTTCTGATGAAATTTAGCTTAGAAATATCAAACTAAATATTGTTTTTATAATTGCTCTTTTTTGAAACCTAAGTGAAAATCTATCGAAGTCGAATAATTTTCGTTGGATGTTATTTTCGTCGCCATTCTATCACCCACTATGACCTTTTTTGTATGAATTTATTAACTTAAAAATATTGGCATTGATTCATTGTAAAAATAACGTCACAGCAATCCGAGCAAAATTAAGCGAATCTTTCAACGTAATTTAAGAGGTGGTAAGTCATGTAAATAAAACTGCTGAAGCATCACCTTTCCCAATGTACTGTGATTTTATATACGGGCATTATCAAAGTCCATAGTCACGCCCCTCCTCCCACCTTTCAATTTAATGATCTACACCATTCTAGTAGTGTTAAAACTGTCTAATATTTCCTCTGTTGAACGTGTCTTTTAGTACATTTTACATCATCGCAGGAATCCTCTCCAGCCACTTTGCTGCGTATGCAACAAAGAAATAGTGTTATATGGTGTTAGTACCCGTCAGAAGATCATTCATGTCCTTGTAATAAAAATGGTGCATACGTGTTGAAGACAAATTATTACAGCAGAATCCAGATTAATTCATTCCAGTGGAGGTTTTTAGAGATTTCTTGACCCCAGTTAAATCTGAAGCCCTTTGCCCTAGTACGGAGGGAACTGGCTCTCTCGGTCAATTTATCTAATTGACCACTCTTAACATAAAGCCTGCGGGATTACATCCAGAGCGATTGAAGTGTAGTGTCTTACCCCAGGACCCCGACAGCAGTTTCCGGTCAGTGCGAGAAACAAACTGCCCCAGGGAACGTATACACAGGAACGTTTCCTACGTGGTCTCCACGATACTCCTTGAAAGATGGATGCATCTTGGAGAGGTCTGATTTTCATTGTCTTCAAACAGGACCGCTTGTATATGTAGATATGTTTAGTATATTTTCAGGTTCTCTTGAAGTTTTGATTGTACTATTGTTCTTGATCATAGTGTTAAAATAAATATCTGTCAACATGCACCCCACATATTTCCATAGTCGAGGTCAAAGGTCTCTGTTAATGTCATAATGACCTGATTTAGTGATTAAGGCCAAAAGTCAATGCCACAGCTACCCACTTTCAATATTCCAAGGTGCAATATTGGTAGCTCTAGGCCAGGTGGTGTAGGGGATATTACCTCAGCAAGTAATTTCTACAATCATGGTGTTAGGTCAAGGTTATTATCACATTGTATCATGGTCTGGCTATTTTTCCCTTGAAGTTGCCTGTACAATAAATACCAATACCCAGCTGGGGTGGAGCTTGGCTGTCCAACAACTTACTAGATTTGGAAGTTATTGGACACCAGAAGTGCGCAATAACTTCCACGTTATTGCACACTAAATTATACAGCAACTCGCGTTCTCGAATTTTGGAGGTTCACATTCCGGCAATTCCAATTCAAATGTCCTGTGCCCAAGCAAGTCGATGTCCATTTCAAACAGTTTGCTGGAAGTATTCATATCATATTTTGAAAAACACGGAGTCAGCGATAGGTCGGAAATCCCATCAAAAGCTTTCACTTGGTTTTTTATATCCTTGCACGCTTGAGACAACACTAGGTCATCGAAGTCATCCTCCGGCAATGACTGGAAATCCAGGTCTTTCATATAGAGAGTAGATAGAGCTACCAGACGGAGAAGTTGCCTTCCTTCTGCTTTCGAAACGCAAACGAAAATGGTGAGAAACTCGGGTTCGGGTTGAACTACTAATTTATTGTTGATTGCTTATGACGGAAATGTAGAAATGTACTCTCGAACACAGGACAAACGGGATTGGTTCGTAGCAATTGATTGACGGACCATGATAAAAGCCAGTTATTGAATGTCAATTGACTCGTGAACACTCGTCTAGACTTCTAATAACTGTAACTGATTTCATTACACGACACATCACAATAACATTTTGCACTGTCGGTCCTAATGATCAAGGTGAAAGGTCAAGGTCACTGCAACCTTGCACGACACATGACCGTCTAAAAGTGCATTCACGCCGACATTTTGTTGGCACTTTATCAAATGTTGTATGAACTTCGATCTGTGGTCATTAACAAAAGGAAAGGAGTAAAAGTACAAGATCTGTAGAACGATTCCAATGACCAAGTGCTGCCTTGTAAAGCAGATTTAAGACTTTTCGTCCCACGAAGCTGCAGTAGCATTATAAAGATGTTACCTAACTACAAATTAAAGTTACAGGTACCGACTATACATAATATATGAATGGGGTCCCTCTTACAAAGGCATCATATAGTAAAGGGTCTGGTATGTGAATTAAGTTGCACTAACTTGTATCACTCTTGGTGGTCCAGATAGGCTAAACATTACTGTGGGACAATCCAGAGAGTAACGAACACAAGTAACGGTCCCTATACCTTTTTTTTTAGTTTTATCTAGAAATTCAAATAGGTTCCCTAAGTGTGAGGAGTGCACCAATGTGCTACTGAAAGTTCCATCAACAGACAAACAACCCAACAGTGTTATTAGTTTATTTATTCAAGATGTCCATTTAGCAAAAAGCTATCACCGTTAATAATAATTATAATAATATATCTTAATATGTAGCTAGCTATAAGCAGCAAATTGTATACACTTATTATCCAGTACATATACATGTAGATCATCACACATGATAAAGTCTCCAGAAAATATACCATTTGTTCCCACAAAAAAAAAAAAAAAAAAAATATTGCATATCACCATGTTTTTAACATGTTTTCCTAAATTATTGTCATTAGAAGAACAAGAAATATTTCAGCACGTTTTTATTTCAACAGTTACATCAAACTCCTAGAGGTATTTTCTACGCTAAATAAATTTATGACCAAATATCACGACACAGCTGTTTGTCCGCTGTTCAGGCACTAGATTGATGTGGCGATCAGTTGTGTTGAGATCTTGTTCCTTCCTATATGTATTAAGTACTATAACTACGTGGGTGGAACCCCTAAAATACAGGTAACAAAGGTCTGCTCCCTTTTTACCCCTGACATAAAACATACCACATCTGCAAGGCCCTCCATTTATTTCCTTTCAATCAGAGTCAATCTATCATGAATTATTGTTCTATAATATTTCTACTAAATGCCATCTATTTCATAAGAACATGTTAACAAAAACTGCCAAGATAACAGAAGTCAATTTGGCAGATCTTTTTTCAATGTGATTTATTTACTTACAGGTTCTGCATTTAATAAGAAGTAATAAAAGAAAAGGCTTTGGCCATATGCCAGTGATGTGCCTGTGAATGACACTGACAAAATGGTGGTGGAATGAGCTGGTTGATGTGTGTTGGATGACATGACTATTTACATGTGTAATCACCATTTTCTAGTGCAAGCTACACACAGTGATCACATCTGAACAACACAAATATAAAATTGATATAAAGTCTATTTTCATAATTTCTTGGCTAATAATTAACCAATACCACCAACTGTTATTTTGTTCATCATCAATATTTTGTATTCAAATATTTACAGATATTTATGTCCAATGTTGACAGTCAACCCTCAAACAATGGATTTTTACTCTCGCACGCTCTCGTTCCTTAATTTTCACTAAAAGCTAAGTATACGAGACAATAAGAATAGCACAATTTAATTTAGAGCACATACAATAAAGACTGTGATAAAGAAACATAGGGAATATTCTGTGTTTATAATAGCGACAGGTAAGAAAGCAAAACCACTATACTGGCAAATAAGGGCATGCACAAAATACTTTGACCATCACAGGAAAACTCTTCTCAGCACCTTAGCAGTTCTATCTTCCGACACCATCAAGACATTTCAGAAATGACTCAATACGAGGAAGTCGGAAATAACACAAAGCCAAGCATGGTCAAAAATGACACAGCTGATCCCATGTCAGAAATGACACAATGTTGATCTCCAAAAGAAATGACCAGTCAATCTTTGTTGGGAAAAACACGTCGAGCTTGGTCAGAAGCTGCAACACTCTGTCATGTCATAGCCTGTGGTTTACATGTCAAAGCTGTCACTGGCCAACAGGAAGACCAATGGTCAGGGTATGGTCCGGTAATTCAGGTCCCAGTTTGGTGATATGATAACTTGTCATCACATTTTCTTGCGACAGTTTATAATTGGTGAGAAAACTCACAAATACGTAACAAAACAATTTTACACCGTGTATAAAAAAGGAAACAGGAAATAGGATCCAGGTAATAAAAAAATCATAACACAATAACAATGGTAATAATACACAAACGTTTGTTTTTCATTATAGAAATTATGTAGGTATGAAATAAACATCTTTTGTAGAAAAAAAAGGAATCCAATGCATGTGTTTATATAAAGTACATAGTATGTATGGGAAATACAGTGGACAGGCACCCCTTTAGTTTGTCTAGTAAATGATAAATGTTCTGGTATGTGTTTAAGCATCAGAGTTCTGTTTTGGTGAGTCAACACTGTCATCATCGTCATCATCCAAATCTCCGGCTCCGGACCGTATAGACGACAACATGGAACGAGCAGATGACACTCTAGAACTAGGTCTGAAAATGGAGAAGAGAACAACACTAAGCAAATTATTCCAAATAAACCATTTAGTTTGGTATCTAAATGAATGGTTGAATTCATTAATAAACATGCTGTAGGATTTCACTTTTTTATCAGTTAGTAGTATAATGAATGGTAATAATATACATCAATGATCCACATCACTAACAGCAGTTTGGCTTAAGTTCTGCAACATTTCTGTTATACTAGCTGAAAAAGTCTGCTCAAATTTCTTAATCATCTTGAAAATATTTATTCATATGTCAAAATTGATTGACATTCTTTTGATTTTACAACATCCATGTATCTTTACTTCAATGTTTAAAGTTCCACGATCTATGACATTAACAAAAACAAGGTCTGGTTTCCGTAGTATTAATGAATTACACACGCACAAACTCAGAACAAACGTGTTGATGAGGATGATGTAAACACTGGGTCAGGATTGTGAGTTGTTGAACGGGCATCAAACAAAGCCTCAGAATAGTGACATTTTCTCTTAGATATGTAGCTAACAATGTGTTAATAGCTATGAAAACCTTGCAATACATGTTTCAACATTATGCACTGCTGAAAGGAGGAAGCAAGGAAGGTAATTGCCCCAACCAATTTCAGCAGAGGAAATCTATTGTACTAGATGTGAAGCTTTGGCAATGGCTGTGTTCTGAGATTCAATTAATGTCAAGTGTAACTTTGGTCATTAGGAAATACTTCCTTCTTTGATCTACAAAGTTTATTCTTTCACTTTCAATTAGAAAATGTATGACCACAGACATGCTTCAGTAAACTCCCAAAATTAACAGACTTCTGTCTTCCAAAACAATCTTAACATGCAAGGATGGATGGATTAAGATGTCTGTACATGCCAGACTCACTTCAAATACAGATGAAGGAAACCTTATGATAAATTGAAACACATCATTATCTTAAATATTGATACCAATGATTTATAAAGACTGTTGGCACTATTTCTAGATGAAAATTGCTTGCCATTCACATCAAACTGTGTGAGGGTGATGGTGAGATTGGTGGATACACACTAATTTGGACTTTGATGTCAAGAGAGTGAACACACCGAGACAAAGTTAACCATGTGCTCTCCATAAAGAACTTACGATAGGTTTGATTTCATACCATGCACACTACCATGTGATCTAAATTAAATCAAGCACATAATTTCAGTAAAGACAAGACAAAACTATGAATGACAAAAGTTTGATCCATTTCCAACAACAAAGGTATTCTTTTTCTAATGAATCAAATACAACTTGGTACTTAAAGGTACTCCCCTCTCTCCAATTGTACTTTCATATTTCCTAATAACAACATAATACCATTATGAAAGCTGAAGCAAAACAGAGAAAATTAAAATCAAAAGTGGATTTATTGATTGCCTTCATGCAGCATTCCCCCAAAACCAGTCAAAAAAAATCTAGGTAGATTAGCGCTCCAGGAAATTAGTTGGCTAATAACTTAGGATTTAATGATGCAAAGTTGGCAGATACATGATATTATTGACTACATAATGATACACAAGACTAGGAATACGGCCAAAAAGTCACAAGCATTTCATGTAGGGAAAAAAAAAGAAAAGACGTACAATAGGCAATGAAGAATGCCTTGGCTAGCAAAGGCCGCAAGTAGATCAATCTGAATTTTACCTGTCTGACCAAACAGGTGTCAGATCATCAATTAGAGGCTTTCTCCCCCAATCTGTGAATTCAGAAATGTACATGTAGCTGGGAACACCTCAAAACAACAACCCAACATGGTCACCCAGCCTCCCTGTCTACCAGGCAAACTCACATCTCTTAAGAAAAACTATCGTTCACTAGCATCTTATTGTCACAACAAGCCTTTACAGTCCAGTTGTTTGTTTCAACTCTACAAAGTCAAGCTTCAGATGAAGAGAATTTTGAATGCATGAGAAAATGGAAAGAGTGCAAGTCAAAAGACACTTCATGGCTAAAAAGTGTCTGAAACTTGTGCAATTAACCTAACAAAACAATAGAAAATTCACAGACGTTTTAATATACTGATTTATGCTCTAAATCTTCCATCATTTTGTGGTGCAAACAATTAAATTGAGGCTGAAGGGATAGCATGTGCTTTAATGAAATAAATAATTATAAATGTTTATGAAAGAACAGTGATTGTCATGATGCAGTAATGTTTAAATGATAGTTTATCATGGTCTAGACACTAGATGATCATCACACAACATGCAAACTGTTAGAAAACCTTCTATCGACCATGACAGAGGCACCATCTAAACCTAGGCTGGCAATGCTACTCAAGACAGCAGCTCCATTAAATATCAATATTATCCTACTATCAGTGCTGACAATGGAACAGTTCAATCTTCATCAATACCGTAAATGTTGACAATATCAATGACAATTGAGGGTCTCAACAACCACTCACACTATAAACCATGTAGGCTACAAGATCTCTACATGAATTTGGGTTTTATACCCGAAGTCACAGTGGATCAATGATTCCTACACTAAGGTGGAGGGTTCATAAATGATGCCTAAAAATGTATCACGGACAAAGACAGATACTGTTGACAATCTCTATACTTTTGTCAAACAACACGGTGTTATGGTTTACAACTCTACAGGAATGATATCTAGTTCCAGCTTGCCAACATATTTTGTCTTTTATTGTGAAGCTGATGAATAAATGAAACTAAAAGTCACTGCACATACATTAGGTGATTACTGACACAAAAAGTCTGGCTAACCTTAGATCTAAAATCCTATTATAAAATATAGAAATAAACTTTGGTTAGTACATGACGAATAAAAAATCTATATCTATCAACTTCAATAACATCAGAATGCATTTAGTAACTTTTTAAACACAGTAAAATCAATTGAATTTTCAAATGTATGCACAGTTTCAGGGTTTATCAATACCTCTTAGAAACTTTCTCCTCCACAACAAACAACAAGTACACATATTGTTATGCATCCCTTTTCAAAACAGCAAAATATAACATATCAATAATATTTTTGGAATGAAACAAAGTGATGTTTTTGGAGGAGGAAATAAACTTACTGCATAACAATTTTACAGGCGATATCAAAATACCAGCACCGCCAAGTTTAGGAAGCTACAGCCATGACCAGTTATCTTAATTTCCTGAAAAGATGTTTTTGGCGTCTGTTCAACCTACCTATATTTTTTCAGCTGAGATATTTCTCGAGCTGATGCTTCGCTTTGTTCCATTTGCTCATCAAGATCACGCTGTAATTTGCGTTTGGCTGCATTCATCCTTGTAATCTCTTCCTCAGCTTCATCTAATTGTCGTTTAAGAGCTCGTACACGGTTGTTCATCTTATCATTCTGTTGATAGATTTAACACAACTCTTCTACATCAAAATTTAGTTGATTTAACAATAGGTGAAGATATCTGATGCATACAAACAAAAGTGGCAGGTCTGAATGTTCAGTTACTCCTTGATTAAATTTAAAATCTATTTTCAAAATCATTTGTTTAAATTCTGCTTTTACTTACAGCAATGAAAAATATCTATGGAAATTAATCTTTTGAGTATGGTGACTCATTTTACATATCCTAATTTCATCATATACAATGTTTTGAAAGAAGTTAGAACACAAGATGTACCTGTTCTTTGAACTGGTCAGCATGACGACGTTCATCCTCGGCTTGCAACACCATTTCTTTCAGTTTCTTTTCCAAGCGGCGTACAGTACGCTGCATAGTTGTTCGGTCCCTAGAACATGAAGTACAACTTTAGCTAACAACACAATAAATACATGCAAATCCCCTCCAAAAAATAATGAAGCTCTAAGGAAAATTCATCCAAAAAAGACAGTTCTAACAGTAAGACAAGAATTTAAAGAACTGAAGTAAATTCTACACACTCAGTTCAGCTAACCAAATTAAATTTTGAAGTGATAATTTTTAAACTATTTTTGTTTTGTTTCTAGACCTGACCTTTGGCCGATTAAAGAAACAGTTAGGATACATCTGCCTATATACTGTAAAGACGTGACCTGTATAGGCAGTGTCATTTCTATAAATTACAAGTGACCTACTTTGTTTCATTGTCAAGTTGTTCCTCAAGGTTAGAGACTTTGCCCTCTAGAGTGGCGATGGTTGCCTTGGTGCGTGTGCGTACTGTGTTTTCCAGGTCTTGAAGTTTCTCACGTAGGTCCTTATTCTGCCTCTCCTGGGCTGCTCGTTGGTTCTCAAGCTTCTGAGTGACAGATTTTTCTGATGCCAGATCAGCTTGTAATTGCTCCGCCTTTAAAATACAACAGTTTCAATACAAATGTACAACTGCTTCAAACTTAAATTCATGAAAAAATTACTGAGTTTTAATTTGATTCCACCTTTCAAACACTTTACACTTTGTTCAATTTCTGAATGTATCTTTCTTTATGTGATGTTTAGACTCTAAATTGGTTAGTTAAGATAACTTATAAATTCAAGCAAAGTCTTCAGATCTAACTCTCCTTACCTGCATTTGTGCCTTTCTGGCTTTGTCAAGCAGCATCTCACCGTTGGTCTGTTCATCTTCCAGTTCATCCTCCACCTGTTGTAACCGTGCCTCAAGTCGGCGTTTCTCATCCAACAAAGATGACCTGTAAACACACACTATTGCATCAGATAGTGTCCTCAAAGAGCAACATAATGAGATATAATCTGAACTCATGACCAGTTCAATAAAACTCATTATTTTCCTATAACTACACTTAGTTTTGAAGCTTCATAACTAATGGCAGTAGCATTTTCAAATTAAGCAAGTTTCTATTTGGCAGTTGAATTGGAACTTGTTGAAGAAAAAGGAAATTCAAAAGTGTCTTCAGTTATTTTATTTTTCCACAATTTTTTCTTGTCAATATTTCTTTTTTTCGTTGAACATCTCCTTTAAATAAATACTTTTCTCAACAACTTCTTCTAAGCAAAGTATTATGTGTTAAGTCCACAATTCTAATAGGGCACACACAGGGAATAGGATGTTTTTGAGGAATCATTCAGAGAATTATCGTGTACCCAGATATCATGGACATTGTGGGATAGTTGAGAACCGTTTAAATAGAGTTAACACATTTTCAAACATACAGAAATTATTGGAGTTTTTCTTGCATGCAGTGTGCAATTCAGGGAGATTAGTTTTTACTTTAAAGATCTTAAATAATATTGTTATTATTTTTTTTTATAAATACACACAATGAACAAAGTAGTTTGTTATATATGAAATATTTATATATCCATTCCATTTGCAAATATCTGAACATTATCAATGATAACCTAGACATAAATATTGAATTGCTTCCTTCTCTAAAATATTCATGCTAGGTAACATGCCCCAGGGTCAAGGACACAACAAAATCACAGTCTATAAATGCTTGTACCGATTCTGATCATCACTGAAGAGCAAAACAACAAATTGATAAAAAATTTTAGAAAGAAATTAACAAAGTTTAGCTCAATTTTTTTTTTACTAACAATGAAATAAGTCTATGTACTGATTTTGATAAAACTGTTTTTTATTGTAAAATAAGGACTTTCACAATAGTTTTCATTCATGATAAATCACTTATGAATTAATCAAAAGATTAAAATTCTGCCAAATATACTGTGCTATCACAATTTAACAACGAATATAATGGTTTTTAAATTAAAAACTAACTGAAAACATTTCAACAGAATATTATCACACTAAATTATTGCACTGAAAATTATGTGCAGGTAAATGTGTGAATAAACCTGTACTTACTTTCCTGTTGTGTTGCTAGCAATTTCATCTTGGAGTTCATCCCTCTCAACCTCTGCATTTCTGCGTGACCGCTCAGAAGAAGATAATTCTTCCTGCAGCCTAATCAATTCTGCTTCTAGGTTCTTAAATTTCTTCTCATTTTCCTTCAGAGTGCTAGCAGCATCTTCCCGGGCAAGTCGTGCTTCATCCAGCTCACGCAGGTTGTCCTTCATGACTGCCTGAGTGCGTTTGAGCTGTTTGACAGCATCCTCCTTCACTTTGTTGGCCATTTCTTCTTGCTGTTCCAGATCCTTGATGTCATTTTCCAGTTTTTTCCTAGCATTAACAGCCATTGCACGCTGCTTACGTTCATCTTCAAGTTCAGCCTCCATCTCACGTAACTGAAGAATAATTAAGTGTTGATCTACAGTCACAGTAGCAAACTTTTTTTATCTGCCAACACCATTTATGCCCTTATCATCTAGCTGGAAGTTATGTGAAACAAAACAGCAGCAGCATTTTCTGTTCTGATGCTTTTTCTGACATTAAGAAAACTAAAATCTCTTTTGACTTTGTTTTTATTAGAAACTCTAAGAGAAGGTAAAAGTACCAGTATCTGTAATATATCACATATTTAGTAATTGTATCAATTTCTGCAATCAGGAATAATTTACCTGTTTGAGGAGTAGCTTCTTCTGTTCTTCGACAGTATCTTCCTTGGCTTGATGGTCACGTTCAAACTGGGTTCTCATGGCCTGCATGTTCACCTCTAGTCTGAGCTTGGCATCCTCTGTAGTCTGGAGTTCATCTTCAAGTTCTTCTATCTGGAGTCGCTGTTCCTCAACCTGTGCTTCCAGGGTTCGCTTGGCCTTCTCCAGCTCGTGTACCTAGAAAAATCAAAGCAAAGTAAGACTTACATTCAGAGAAAAGTGTTAGATAAAAGAACAAAAATATTTTCGTTCTACAGTGCCTCAGATTCCGATTATGACCAAAGTGCATGAACAAATAAAAGATGGATATTGCTATTATATAACTGCATCAGGTAAAGATCATTTTCAACAACTTTCATGGAAATTGGCAAAGAGCAAGGTTTTTTTTTTTACAAAGCACAAAGTTTAAATGATTTCAATTACATTTAGACAGACATCCTATTTCCACCAGAACCCTTCCAACAATGTTGCTAAAGAAAAAAAAATTACTTATTCTGGTATCCATGTTACTTCCTCAAACATTATGTTTTCAAATACTTCCTTGTATTTTTCTATGATATCACAACACTTACATTTTTGCCGACATCATCCTTTGATGACATGAGATCTTCAAGTTCCCTCTGCTGGAGAAGTCGACTCCTGTCAGCTTTTTCATAGGACTCATGCAGTTCATCTAGTTCTCTCTGTAGATTCATTATCTTTGTTTCCTTTTCTCGGCTTTCTCTTTCCAGCAGATCTTTTTCCATTGACAGTCTGTACAATAAGTATGATCATTAGTAACAGGCAAAATGTTTGTTTACTGTCCCAGTATTTTCTTATGATGTAATTATGGCATTAACAAAAGTAGAAATATATAAGGTTATACATAGATAGTGATTTTATATTTATAAAACTTGGCATACAGAAACATTGTAACCTATTTGTCATATTCATTGTAAAATTGATTTCAATATCCACCAACTTACTTTTCTGAAACACTCTTTTCTTCATTGAGGAGAGCATCAAACTTCTTTTGTTTCTTCTCCAGATGTGTGTAAGCAGACTTTTGATTATCTAACTCTACATTCATATCTTCTACCTGTTAAGTATAAACGCAAGGTAAAATTTTTTTTTGTGTTCAAGATATCTTAATAATAATCCATTTGGCAGAAAATTTCACAAATTAGTTAGTAAGAGAAGAAAGCAAGTGAAAAACAAAACATGATGGACAAGAAAACTACCTCTGCTTGTAACTTTTTGCGAGATTTCTCATGTCGCTCTATAATGAGGTCTGATTCTTTCTTCTGGTCATCTAGTGCATCCCTAGCTGATTTCTTCCTCAACTCTTCATTTGCTTCCATCTTCTGGACCTCCTCCTCATTCTTCTTCTTCATCTCCAACATCTGTAACAGTAGTGATTTTCAATTCAAGAACTGTTTTATCTGCTAAGCATGCAAACAAATACACAGTGAAGATGTTTAAGAAGTATGCACATCGGTGTCTCTTTAATATACTTTATACTTGTGTGATAAAGAGAGTTACACACCATAAGTCAGAATTATACATAAACTAAAAGGACTGCACAAAAGTTATTGCTTCAATTTATCTAAAAAAAAAAAAAAAAAACCCTCCAAAACATCATGGTTGTATGTTCTGAATTTGGGTGATACGAATATCACAATCAAATGACATTGGAAATTTGTACCTACCTTAGCCTGCAGCTCATTTATCTGTTTTTCTAATGTTTTCTTGGATTCCAGCTCCTCCTCAATGCGATCTAACAAGCCTTCCTTCTCATCATCCATCTGTCGCAGTTTTGACTGTACCTGCAGTTTGCTCTTTGTTTCTTCTTGTAAAGTATCCTGTACAAACAACATGTTATGTCTTAACATCAGCTATCATCTTTTCCCACATACCTTTACCCTACATCGGAACTTTCAACATCCCTAATATCTTGTATTATTGGATTGATATAATTGTAACATTTTTCTGTTTCCTCACACTTATACACTCAAGTCCTAGTAACATCCTGTTCAGTCCAATTTTTAAGACAAGGTGTTTATGCTAACTTACGTTTTTGATTCATGTTAAAAGTAAAAAATATTCTGAGGATACAAATCTTGTAATTCTTTCGTCTGCAGACTTTCCACAAGTTCTGTTTTTGCAGCTTGTCTAGAGCATCAGTATCAACTTCAGTTTCTAAACAATGATTATTTCTTATTATACAGAGCATCGAGATCAAACCTTTATCCACAACAACACTTACCTGAGAATCTGCAAGTTGGGATTCTAAGTTGGCCACTTTTTGGCTCAGATGAACAGTCTTTGTGTCTGCCTGTTCAAGTTGTCCACTGACCTGATCCAGTTCATTCTAGAAAAGCAAAGGTAAATAAAGAGTGTACCAAAACCCTGAAATTTCAAGGAAAACTTAATATCATACCCATCATAGATTAAGAATTCTGAACTATCTAACCAACAACCACATTGATTCAAGTCACGTTTACACAAAACACAGGTACAGGACAATATAATGCTGAATTTCAGCATAAACCTAACAGGTTTTATATCAAGCAAGACACCAAATCATATGAGAGTTGATTTTCGGTCACTTTTCCCACAAATGATACGTAATGTTTCTTATCTTACAGCTAGTTTGGTAGCCTTGTCAATAGTGTCAGTACGTCCCCGGTCAGATTCTTGTAAGCGTATTGTGATCTCCTGAAGCTGAGCTTCCACCTGCTTCCTCTTGCGTTCTGACTCTTGTTTAGCCATCTGAACTTGTTTAAGGTCTCCTGCCAAGTCTGTGTTCTCTGCCTCCAGGGTTTGTCTTTGTTTGTCAAGGGATGCTTTGCTCTGTTGGTGAAAAAAAAAGAGATCATAACAAAATTGATAACATCAATAATCTTATTTTATAATCATTATATTCATTTTATCTGTGAATTGTACTTGCAACAATTAACAGGATTAAAAGAACAAAGCCATCTCTCCAAACTTCAGCTGATTGTGAAACACTAACTCATTCCATATATTCACATTATATTGTTTGATTAAAATCACTTTAAAAATGAATTCAATTCTGACAATTCACTGAATTATTGGATTTTCTATAAATATCAGAGTGACCTTGACCTTACATTCTAAAAACACAAACTTGTGTTACATGAATAAACAATGATAAATGAACCTATTTACCTTTTTAACATTCTCGATTTCTTCATTGAGCGCCTGTATTTGAGCTGAATGCTTGTGCCGTATGGCATGTACTTGATCTTCTGAACTCTTCTTAGTCTCAGCCAACATAGTTTTTAAATCTTTAAGTTCCATTTCTCTCTTATTTCTCAGATCCTGGACAGCAGCTGTTGCATCCATGGAGTCTTCAAGCTCAGATTTCAAAGCCTCCAATTCCTACACAATTTAAAGTTAATGAAAACAAACTGTAGGAAAGTACTACTTTATTACTATCACACAAATGATCTTGTGTGTTATTAAACAAGAGATCCCAGAGGGATCTTGGCACCCACCATTTGAGGATCTATTTCCAGTTCTTGAAGATTTGTTTATTTTTGTTTGTTTGTTACAGGTGTTGTAAATGTTCATGAACTGGTCTTCATTGAATGTACTCAATGATGGCACAAGATATTTTTATTAAGCACTTATTAGCAAATATCATTTGAAAAAGATCCCAAAGTATTATTAGATAGCAGTCAGTTACAGGTGGATAATGGACAATATGTTTGTGCTGTATTACTGTCGACATCCAAGATGGTGGCCTGTGGGCCATCTTGATTTCAAATCAGTCCAAAAAAGGTACAATGCACAACTAGGGACCAAGGGAAACCAATATCTATGAAATATTAGAAGGATCCATCCAGTACTTCCTCAGATATAGCAGTAACAAGATTTTACTCTCAAAATCCAGCCATCTTGATTTCGGTTCAGTCCAAAAAGGTACAATGTACAACTTGGAACCAAAGGGAACCTGCATATGAAATTTGAGAAAGATCCATCCAGTACTTTCCCAGAAATAGCGGTAACAAACTTTTACATCCAAAATCCAAGATGGCCACCTGTCGGCCATCTTGAATTGGAATCAGTCCAAAAAAGGTACAATGCACAACTAGGGATCAAGGGGATCAAGAAATACCAAAGGGAACCTGCATATGAAATTTGAGAAAGATCCATCCAGTACTTTCCCAGAAATAGCGGTAACAAACTTTTACATCCAAAATCCAAGATGGCCACCTGTCGGCCATCTTGAATTGGAATCAGTCCAAAAAAGGTACAATGCACAACTAGGGATCAAGGGGAACCTGCATATGAAATTTGAGAAAGATCCATCCAGTACTTTCCCAGAAATAGCGGTAACAAACTTTTACATCCAAAATCCAAGATGGCCACCTGTGGGTCATCTTGAATTGGAATCAATCCAAAAAAGGTAGAATGCACAACTAGGGACCAAGGGGAACCTGTATAAGAAATTTGAGAAAGATCCATCCAGTACTTTTCCAGAAATAGCGGTAACAAGAATTGTTTACGGACGGACGGACCACGGACCATGGACGCAGGGCGATTTGAATACCCCACCATCTGATGATGGTGGGCTAAAAAAAAAGAGACAGAAAAGAAAGTACTATTTCATTGAATATAACAAAAAAGCTCTCAAGAGTTAATACTGGCTTTGAAATTCACTATCCTTCAATTTTGATAGAAGTTGCCTTGAATTGTTGCAAAATTGTAAAATAATATTTCCCATTATTTTTTTTTAAATCAGTATTTTAATTCCTTTCCCAAATTTCAAATTAAAATATATTGATTACTGTATAAGTTTCATAACTACTACTACAACCTGATGGCTTTATTGAGATTAAACAACATACAATCTCATGACTTTATATAAACTTCTGTTATAATGTAAGATTTTATGATATTTTACTTACCTCACTCAGATCACGTTTCTGTTTTTCTGCCTTCACTCTGGCATCCTTCTCTGTCTCCAAGTCCTCTGTCACTTCCTGTAACAGGTTCTGGGTCTCTCGTGACTGTTTCAAAGCCTGAGATTTGGTTACACCTTCTTCATCCACCCTGGATAATTATCACAAATATATTATTATCAATTTCTTTGAATGTTGATTTCCCCCTAGATAATTGTAATTACAAAAACACACATCAAATCTGGTATAAAAACTATTCAATCATAATTTCATTTATAGTTACCAAACTTAAGTCAATACATATGCCGGGGTAGAAGAAAGTTGAAGTGAATGGATAACTAGAAAATAACATGAATACACTGGTCTGAATAAAGTTTCTCATTGAATAAATCCTTTGTAAATATCAATATTCAAAGCAGTTCTAAATATATTCCATAACAGATACATTCTGTTGTTGATAGGAACACTGACTAGATGAGTGTCAGTAACAATTCCATCCAGACTTACTTTTTCAGTGCTGATTGTACTTCCTCTTCTCGTTTTGATAGCTGTGCCTGTAAATCTTCCACCTGTTGACGTTTCTCTGTTAACTGTTCTCGTAAATCGTTCAGCTCACTTTCCAAACGTCGCCTTATTTTCTCCAGTTCTTGCCTAGCCTGTAAAGAAAATTGAAAACAACATATTTCTATGTGCCCTGGTACAACAGATTCCCATAGTTTCCTTGTACAACAGATTCCTGTAGTGCCCTTGTTCAACATATTCCCAGGATACCATCAAACAACAGATTCCCACAGTGCCCTGGTCCAATAAATTCCCATAGTACCCTGGTACAACAGATCCGCAAAGTGCCCTAGTCCAACAGATTCCTGGTGCCCTGGTATGACAGATTCTTGTTGTTCCCTGGTCCAAAAAAATTAACCAATTAAAAGAAATAAACTTTTTGTTCATCAGTGTTAAGATAATGCCAGTCTCTTACCTGTGTTTCTTTCCTCAAGCGCTCTTCTAAGTCAGAGATAATGGACTCGTACTTGGTCTTAAGTTTGCCTAGCTGCTTAGCCTTTTCTTCTTCCTCCACTAAGTGTGATGTGACCTCACTCATACGTTCCTCCATTGCCCGCTTTTCTTTGAGCAATTTATGATTTGTATCCTCTTGCACTGCCAATTCCTCATCGTACTTCTTCATCTTTGCATCAGCAGCTACTTTTTCCAGCTGTAATTTTTGTCTAGATTGTTCCTCCTCCTCAAGTCTGTAACATTATTTAAGACTAACTGCGATACTGCTCAAAGTGTTCACCTTAAAATCTTAATGTTTATTTACATTATGCATACCTATAAAATGGTGGTTACCTTTCAACTTCCACATTTTCTACAAAAATTTAGCTATAACTTCTTTAAAAATTTATCACTGATCAATGTCAACACACCAAAACTTTAATAGAAACACTACCACATCAAAAGGAACAATAGATGGAAATGCTGGTCATTTCTTTTGAATCTACCTACAAATAAGATAAGTGTTTACTCTGTGGTACAGCAAGAAAATCTACTATATACAGGAAAACATTCATCCGTGCAGAAAACTATCATACTTCACAAACAAACTTGTTCACCTTAAGTTTTTGTCCTACAGGGAAAACTGGCAGAAGTTCCTGGTATTTTTAGTTGATTTTTCACAAGTGGACTAGCTACCATTATATGCAAATTTGGAACAAGAGGTGAATACATGTCATAGCTTTGAAAACTACACTCACTGTTCCTCCAGGTCTGTGACTGTCTGCTGAAACTTTTTGCGTTCCTCCATGAGGGCATTACACCGATCTTCCTCTTCCTCTATCCTGATCTCAACGTCATGTAGTATCTCCTCCAACTCCTCTTTCTTGGCTTGCATCCTTGCTTTGGACTGTAAGTGATTGCAGTACCAATTAATCAAGGTAATCAGAGAGTTAACCATATACAAATGGTAGAAGGAGACTTTGATAATAAACACATAACCCTACTGCTCCAAATCTCTTATCATGGTAGATGTGCTTTCTCTTTTATGGTGCCATTAATATTTCTTAACTGAACTTGGCTTTTAACAAGTCATGACTTTCATGACAAAGAGAGATTTTTTCATTTCATGAAATAACTTTTTTTACATTTCAGTGTTTAATTTTTTTTCTTTATAAAGATTGATCATTCTCACCTCTTCTGCTTCAGCACAGATTTCTGTTTCAGCTTGTAACTGTTCTGCTAAGATGGATTTTTCTTCAATGATTTGAGCATACTTTCTTTCCAGTTCTTCTATATCAGTCTTTTGACGTTCCAGACTTTCTTTAGCTTTCTTAAGTTCATCCTCTTTTAATGTAAGTTTTTCTTCCTGTCCTGCTACTGGTAACAATGGCTTCACCTTTAAGCAGAAGCAAAATGATCAAATGATTTATCACTTGCTACTTTTGGCTAATAAGGACTCTTGTACGGTATGGTTTTTGATCATTTGCATATAACCGAAATACTTTGAATGCGAATATGTAAACCCAAAAGGCAGACTGAAGATTCTTGGAGAATAAATGCTGTAAAAATGTGTTAGAAGAAGGTAAAAAATTTCAGATTTAATCATAAATGTAAATGAACCATTTTCCTACCAATCCTAACCCATCGGTTAATTTAAAAAATTTAAAACTCAGCAATGCTATAGTTATTCAGTGGGATCACAACTGTTTCAACAGACCAAATATCCAAATGAATTGTTGATTGTGCTGAGCAATGACATGAAAATGAGCTAAATCTACTTGGGAGTTAGATTTTTCAAGTTGGGTCCTGCCCATCTGGCCCTGGGGGCCAAAACCCAGGCTTTATGTATAACTGATTTCCCTTCACCCCAGCATGCTTCAGACAAAATCTTGACAATATCCTACAATTCCTGAAGAACCAGATAGATTAAAAAAAAAGATAGATTTTCCCTATTGGGCCCTGCCCATCTGGCCCTAGGGGGTAGAGACCCACTGTTTATACAAAACTGACTTCCCTTCACCCAAGCATGTTTCAGACCAATTTTGAACAATTTCCTACAATTCCTGAAATGGGACTTGCCATAGAAAAGAGTCTCAACCATACTATGTTATTTACTTTGAGGCATGTTACTTTGGTAATGGGTATAAAGCATATTCAGTGTCTGAGTTCTAGGCAACCTACCATTGGTAAAGAGTCTCCACAACACCTAGTTTCTCAGTTTGAGGTTACGTACCTTGGTAAAGAGCCTCCACCATGCCCAGTTCCTCAGTTTGAGGTAGGAAGCACAGTTTCTCTGTATAACACGGATTGCACTCAATTGCTGCAGCCTTCTCTGGTGATTTCTGTCATGCAAAATATGGAAATGAATTACCTCCCTTTTTCCACATATCAATTTCAACCATCACAAATTCATGCAACTATCTTTTCTGCCCTTAGTTATAAAAGAGTTTGTGTTGAATTACAAAAATAGATTTCTTTTCTATCTCCATGCACTTAAATATTTTTGAATTACTTATATCAAAAGTAGAAATCTGATGGTGTTTGGTTAACCCCTGAGGACCAGTGTATGAAATATGTAAGTGATCATAAGAAGAGAAACAACTTGTTTATGTACATGTATTAATTTTCTCCTATTCTTACCTTCTAGCTATCAGACCTCGGCATAAAGCCTGGAACTGGATGATGATATCAGTGAGTTTTAGATCTCTTTCTTCCTCCAAATGCGCCAACACTCCGGCTCTGAAGAAAATCTTGCTCTGTCCAACTCGGTACAAATTGGGATCCAACTCAAGAGCATTAATCTACATAAGGAGAAATCATATCATCAACAGAGCTAAATTCAAAAACAGTAATTCCCATAAGACCAAAAATCAGGAATAACTTAATTACAAAAATAACTATCAATGGATTAAAGGTGTCTAGAATCTTCTTTATTCTTTTCTTCAGTCGATGTACAATCTCTCCCTCAATTTCAAACCTTGTGAATGTTGTCGCTCATTTTCTTGTCATTTAGTACATTTTTAAAAACACTGAAGTGATTTAACTCCTGCCAATATCAAACAAGCTATCTGCTAGCTGACAAATTTACCATTTTTTCAACTGCCTTTTTGCCATCCATAAATCCTTTGGGAATACTATTTGGACACAGGATCTCGTATCGCTGTCGGAATTCCTGGAATAAGATCCTGTTGGGGAAGCCCTGACGACAGATTCGGATTCCTTCCAGCACACCATTACACCTAAGCTGCTCCAAGACTAGAGGGGAGTCAATTTTTCCGGCCTATTGAAAAGAAAAGTTAAAAGTTAGTTTTCATCCCAAATGAGTAAACAATTCCTGCTAGTGACTGATCATTTTAACACGATTCTTTTTGGTTAACTCTTAAAAAAACCCAAAAAAGTCTCTTGTTTTCTTTTTTCAAATTTGAAAATAATAAGTTCCTCAGGTGATCCAATACACTTTCATAAAAACTGAATCTGTGTGACTTCAAAAAAGCTCAAAAATCAATGGGATCAAATGGAGCTGCATTTGATATCTAATAAATATAACATGTTATGTCTTTCCCACACTTTGCCATAATGATTTTTTTGTTATAATTCAACTGCACGACAATCACATCAACATGTAATTCCTCAAGACATAGACAAACAATTAATACAACAGGTTATCAAATAATTTATAATATTTTTAAGAGTGTCCTACCACAGATGACTTACCTTTTTCTCGTGGTTTGGAATGATACATCTTACGAAGTTCGGGTTTGTGTTGCGAAGTGTGGCCATTAGTTTGGCAAGCTGTTCCTTGTACAGTTGGCTTACTGTTCTGAACATGCCCTTTCGGGTTCGTGACCCAAACATGGTGTCACCAGTTGATGCAGCTCCCATACCAACAATTTCAGCTGTTAACAGAGTAAAACTTATTATTCTATGTTAATCATTAAATTACATACAGGAACATCTTACAAATTTCTTTGGTAGATCAGAAACATCCCTTAAAATCTTGAAACTAAGCTGCAAATTATGTTCCTTTTTATACATGGCTTCATTAAATATTTTCAATCCAGTCTAATTTTGAAGATTTTTATTTTTACAATACCAAGTTGTGTACAATTATAGAAATCATATTTCCTGTACAAAGATGTACTGATGACAAGTCATTTTACTGAATAATGATTTTATATGGAAGATGCAAATAAACATAGCCCATGGTCCAATTCTGCAACCCAGATACATGTTAACTTTTCTCAGCAAGGAGTCCATGACTTAATTTTGACAAGATTTTCAGATATATCGACATGTTTATTTACCATCCTTCCAGATGGCAGCAACGAAGGGATCTGATGAGTTCTGCAGCAGGGATACCACATTCTCATTCAATGGGTCCATATTCTTCATCAGCCACATACTAGCTGAGTAGTCAACCTGGAAATGATTTAAGAACATACATTAAGACATTTTCATCTGAAACCAATCAATAAGTATGATAGGAAAAGTCTCTGTGATGTTTACTTTGGCTGAATCTAAAGTTATGTCAGGGTAACCAACTTCACCACAGACAGAAAGTGGACTGCTGTGATATTACAATGGCATGTACTTTTAAGCTAATTGATCATCATAACCTCCTCCTATTCAAACACTGTGTTTCAGGTTTCAAACATTGTGCTTTTAACAAAAGCTTAAAAAATAAAGGATCTATTTTTTCACTTAAGTCATAAATTAATTTCACTTTCAAGGAATCTGGAAAATCATAAAATTTTAACCCCTTGAAATAAAACCATTATAGTAAACGAATATTTTTTTTTTTTTTCAAAAGAAAGAATGAATGATTTTGTTTCTATGCAGAAATGCATATTCCCAACATTTAAATTAGAATGAAGTGTAGCACTCACAAGTAGTTTATAACAAATGTAGCACATCTCGATATGCAATTTATGAAAAATTAGGTTTCACACTATAACGATGTCAAGAACATGTATTTCTGTGTTTTATGTGTTACTGAATTTCTAAAATTCAAAATCCATATAAATGAATCTTATGAATAAAAATAATGGTTTAAATTAATGGTTTACCTTTCCAGCATAATGGATGAGACTGAAGTCTGCATCCGCCCTGAAGTCAGGCTTCTGGAACTTTGGATGGGAGGAATGTTGGGTGACAACCTTGTCAATGAAGGTCTTGTCTGTTGCTTTGGGGAAGAAACACTCCTCATCAACCAGAGCATAGATACCCATGGGCTTAAAAACAATACAGTACAGTTTACAATAACCATCCAGTGTCTGTATATCAAATGTTAGTCTATCAACAGAATTTCTGACAAAATACTGCTAAATGCATAAAATAGTATGAATTACTTCAATCAATTTTTTTTTAACAATATTGACATTATAATTCTTTTTATTTCTATACTCTAAAGACTATTTGATAAATCGAAGTCCCTATCTATCAATTTCTTCAGATATACATGAAACATATCTTGAAGAACTTGTGTAGGAATCAATACCTTCTCAAGAAGGTCAATGGTGGGCTGTAGGTCAAGACCAAAGTCAATGAACTTCCATTCGATGCCTTCTTTCTGATATTCTTCCTGCTCCAGAATGAACATGGTATGGTTGAAGAGTTGCTGCAGCTTCTCGTTTGTGTAGTTGATGCACAGCTGCTCGAAGGAGTTCATCTAAAATACACACCATACAGTATAAATTATCCCTGTACAAATAATGGTACAACAGTGTTGCAGATGACACATGCTCAATCATAATCTGGATGATAAAAGATGACCTATTTGTTATATTTGATGTTTCCCTTCTATATGTCTGATGAAAGTGACAGTGTTTTGTCATCAAAATGTCACATCTTCATTTTTTTTTAATTGGTTGTTATATATGAAATTATATTCAGTCCTATCTATGGATGTTAAACACTCAAAGGTTTTGAAACACTTTGTTTCCATGACCTTTGAATTCAAACCTATTCCAGCTTTGAATTATTGGACTGTATTGGGATTTTAAAATTGGTAATTTGGCTTGCCATCCATGTCAGACTTTAAATAGTCCTCAAGGTCAAGTCTCTTCAACTGTGGATAGGCACATCATAAAAACCCAACAATTACATGTGTACCAATTCAAAAAATATGAATTTCAATGTCTTAATTGCAATGGATAAATAATTTATATATTTCTAAAGCAAAACCAATGTACTTAATAAGACATCAAACAGTTTCTTCATTCTTCCTGCCATAAAACAGTAGAGTGAATGGACAAACACATCACAGTAGAAAGATATCTGCATGTAGTTGACAGTTTCTGGGAATTTAACATTACTTAATGCTTCAAATTTTCAATCAAAATATTCTAGCATTTAAATGCCAGTCAATATCTGGTAACTATAACTCGAAAATAGCATGCTTATAACCATACAGAATAAAAAGTAAAGGCACAATTTCAACCATTGAAAATGCATAAAAAGTTCATGCAAAATTTGCTAATGCCTTTGCAATATTGTCCAAAAAGATATACATCTCTTTCCTTGTATGCACAATGTATCCCTGGTATGTCATTAACTTAAAATTTGAATTACAAAAATCTATATTTCCAGGCATTAGACAATGATGATATAAGCTGGGACAAAAGATAAGCTATGCCACAAAGATATCTGGGTGTCAGGGGAACTAGCAATACAATGTAATCAAATAGATTTTAAATATACAAAGGTTGTACAGGACATTGGGTCAATACAAAGCTTGGACATGACACTGAGTCAATACAAAGCTTGTACATGACACTGGGTCAATACAAAGCTTGTACATGACACTGAGTCAATACAAAGCTTGTAAACGACAGTGGGTCAATACAAAGCTTGTACATGACACTAGGTCAATACAAAGCTTGTAAACGACACTGGGTCAATACAAAGCTTGTACATGACACTAGGTCAATACAAAGCTTGTACATGACACTGGGTCAATACAAAGCTTGTACATGACACTAGGTCAATAAAAAGCTTGTACATGACACTGGGTCAATACAAAGCTTGTACATGACACTGAGTCAATACAAAGCTTGTACATGACACTGGGTCAATACAAAGCTTGTACATGACACTAGGTCAATACAAAGCTTGTACATGACACTAGGTCAATAACAAAGCTTGTAAACGACACTGGGTCAATACAAAGATTGTACATGATGAAGGTTGAATCATAAATATGAATACTGAATCTGCAAGAAACTGGCAAAATTGAAAGTTATTATCAACCAGCCTTTCAATCAGATTAAACAATAACAAAGAAGGATAAACAATTAAAGATGGAAAAAATATATATGTAATTGAACGAGTTATTTATGATGTAAAGCCTAGATTTTCTTGAAATGTTTTCATTACAATACTGACCAAGGAAACCCATGCACATCAGAAGATAACCTGCCTTAATCACAACATTTGAAATTTACTGGTAAGTTTACAACCATTTCTCTTACATGCACTTTCATGCATACAAATAAGTCAACTGGATTCTGCCATTCTGCTTAAGCTGAAGGTCAAACTGTGACCTCTGGGATTCCTGCCATTCAGTGAAGCATGGCTCAACCTCAAATGCCATACACTATCAACTATATCATGACTTCAAGAAAAAAAGCTTCTTTGTACAACACAATAACCTACTACAAGTAGCATGTTTTACCATTCAATCTTTAGTTTTCTTTGTTAAAAAAAAAAAAAAAAAGATTTTGGTACAAAATGTTATTTCGTTGATTTTTTTGTGGTTACTTCAGTTTGAAGTCAGTAGTACTACTTTGAAACATCTTTTGATATCTATAGAATTGCAACACAAATGAGTATTAAGCCAAATTTTGAACTAAGCCTTGAACAAGGGTCATTGGGTTAGACAGGAAAAATTATGCCAAGTCTGAAAAGGCAAATTTTGAATTAATTGCCCTGTGGAAAACACTATATTGGAATATAACTAGGTTTCAGCATTGCTCTGCCACACCAACCAATAGAAAAACAATCATTTTCACAATGTCTCAGATTTGTCTGAATGCTTACCTCGACACAATATTGACTGATTTATGATAATGAAGCTGCTCATTTCAATTCAGTGAGAATTATGCAAGTTGAAGAGCCACTGTCTATGAAAAATGTTTTTCTACTTCAGACTGAAATCAGGTCAATTTTCAGTCAAAATGACTTAATTTTTTTCTTTTCAATAAATTTCTCCAACTCTTATAAAATTTCATTATGCAGAAAGTCTTTCAACTCCTCTTCATCTTTTTTTTTTCTTCTCCTTATACAAAACTGCCATCTAGGAAATAGTTTCCCCAGATTTCTTTTAGAAATGTTGCATGAAAATCACTGAATTGCAGAAGTAAATCAATCAAGGGATTGTGCCGAGATGTTGCACCAAAACAAAAGGATTCAACATTGTGAAGATGGTCCACAAGAAACAGACATTACTTACGGGAGCTTCACCCGAGCCCACATCGCTCGGCTTTAACAAGACAACATACTGTCAGAACTGATCCAACTATGGTTCTACACACACATATATATCATGACTATCACTTCAGAAATTTTTGCTAAATGTACATACACGTGGTTACTTTATGTGACCAATTGAAAAATAATCTTTATGTCAAATCAAAAATACGAGTATGCGGAACTCCTTTCATTTCAAAGATACCTGTGAAATCAAACCATGATTTAGGACATCCAGTGAAAACCAGCATCATTTACTTTCATTTCCTACGTAAACAACCATTGATATCCTGTGTGATCTGATCAATGCCATGTCCGATAAAGGCTTTGATTATACAGGTTTCAGTGTTTTGATATCAAATACTTACACAACAAAACCTTATGTCGAATTCATTCCACACAAAACAGGATATACCTAAGTGTTGTTAAATAAGTTAACATGAACTTAACAATAGACAAATTTGCAAAAAAAAAAAAAAATAAATAATGAAATGACAAAAAAAAAAAAAAATGTTTTGTGTAAACAATGATTACAACTCAGCAAAGAAACCTACTAAAATCTACTGGCTCATTCTCTGACAAATAAATTGACGAAAAAAACACAAATCATGCTTTCTGATCCAAACACTGATGTCCCAAGCAGGCAGTGAGCCTGGGGATCAGGTCATTTACCTTACAATCTGTGGACTGTAGGCATAACAGATACAAACAGTATGTGGTAAGTTCCTCTTCAAAACTATCTTTGTATCAGAATTATCATCATTTGTAAATATTCTAAGAGAAAAGTCCTAATACTTTAAAACAAACTGGCTCTGGTTTTTGAAATCTTTACAATGAAGAAAATTTTGATAACTGAAGTGTGTTCCATTGACAGTCTACTATGGTAGATGATCAAACACATGTGATTTCCAACATAAATAAAACCTTACAAGAGAAATTTAAGGAGATTTTTAGTCCACTTGTGGAAGTATAGACTGAAAAATGATTCATAAATCACAGCAAGTTATCATCACAAGGATGGTATTTTTGGAGTACATTAAAGTTTTCTGAAATAATCAGATGTGTGTAAAAGATGTCCTTTTTAGATCCAGAATGAAATCTTTGTTAAAATATAATTCAATCATTTTTAAAGAGAATTCTGACCCGCAAAAATTACCAGTTATACACTATGTATCAGTTGACCTATAGGGTAGGAACTAACACATCTCAGCAGCTATATTACTAATAGATGGACAGGGTCAGGCACCGAACTCAAGAGAGTAATAATTATCCAGCCAGTTTCATTAAAATAAAAACCCCTATTTAAAGGTATTGCCATGAAAATAAGCCCCTGAGTTTAAATTGTTCTTCAAAAATCTGATAATTAATCAATAAAAGTACATTTTGGAATATACAAGCATTTAAAACATTAACAACTTTTTGTTGCTTTTGCAGGCACATTAGATTTAAAATGTTTATATGCTCTAAATATTTCTTCATACCAGCTATTATGCAAACTAATCTTTGAACAGGACTACACAATGTGACCTTAATTTTAAAAAGCAATACATACCATTTTCAATCTTAAGATTTACACAATATCAAAACACTTATCTATGACCGATTATATTGTTCATCACAACAGATGTAAAATGATATATAGCAGAATATTAAAATTTACGCATCTATTAAAATAATACATCACTGAAGATTTGTAAATGTTAGAGATGGACATCAGCCAAAAACGACACATTCACCTAGACCTGCTTTAGTGGCAGACCATTTATAATGTGTACATACAAATATCAAACTATTCCTAATGAGAAATCAGCAGTAGGAAGAGAGAATGCAGCATGTTACGCCTCTCACTAGCAATAATAGTACAGAATGAAACAAATAATACTTGTTAAAACTATTACACATTTGATAGTACACAAAAGTTTGTAAAAACAAAACTTCTGAAAACATAACAATCCCTTTTCATCCCAATTTACAGGTAAATAAATTTATGAAAATGGCAATACAATAGATGAAACAAATCAACTTGAAAATGAGGTAATTTTAAACATTGAAAGAATACAGCAGCAAAGACTGAAATATGAATCCTAGTAAATAAAAGCTCCGATCTTATACACACCTTGAAAATTTCGAAACCAGCAATATCTAGAATGCCAATGAAGGATGCTCCCTGCCTCTTAGTCCTATCTAGTGAACGATTGATCCTGACAACAAGCCATTTGAACATCTTTTCGTAGCAAGCCTTAGACAGGGCCTCCACTGCAAACTCCACCTGCTCCTTGGTCTGGGCCTTTGTCACATAGTCCCGGCCTACCTTGATTCTGGGGCGAAGGAATGCCTGTATTACAGATGTCACCGAAAGACCAAGCAGATGACAGGCTTTCTGGGCAACTGGTATAGAAATGAAAATAACAAATAACATTTCATCTGTTTTTCCCTTTGTTTATGAATTTTGAAAAAAAAACCCCACAAAACAAAAAAAAACAAAAAAACCCAAAAATATTGATTACTGACAAATATTAGGAAGGGCCCCCACATTGTGTCAAGACTTAAAACTTGATTGTTACATTTCAAAATGAAGTCTTGTTCATTGCTTTATACAGGCAATAATTTGCCTGTGAAATATAAAAAAAAAATCAAATTTGACCTTCCCCCTTTGACCACTAGACAGAGGACTTCTCAATTGACTGCAACTAATTATGCTTCATTATGTCATAACAACACACTTAGTTACCAGTGACATATTTCAAACTGTACCTCAACCTTTGACCTGAAATACTTTAAAAAAAAATCATCATTGATGTATACCTGTTGTTGATCAACTTTTCATTTGATTGCAATCAGTAGTAACTTTTCATGTCACCAATGTGACCAATGTCACTCATGTCAGAGTGACCTACATTTGACAAATGACACACCAAAGTGTGAAGCTCCATTGTATAGGATATAGGGCACGGACAAGGTTTTTCTTTGATGTAGGTCAAGGTCAAAATGAAGACCAGAATGACCTACTTTTGACATCATACTGCCTCACTAAAGTAATTTGTATCCAATGTATTAAGTTCAACCAAGGTGAAACCATTTCCCAAGCATAAAGTCCCTGTAATTAGTTGTGTACAAGATAGGGAAAGCGAAAAGAAGGAAGAAGATGATGGACAGACACAATGCAGAACAATATAGCCCCTTCTGGTTCCTTGTTGGGGACTAATACCAAGATATTTTAATGGTTTTAAAACCATATATCTGAAATTTTAAAAATGACCGGTTTTTGTTGTGGTTTTTTTTGTTGAGAAATTTCAAAATTTAAGTCAAGTCTAAGAAAGTAGGTTTATCCTCAAGAAATTGGACTTTACCTGTATCATCTGGAAGGGTTGCCTGGTCAGAGCTCCTCTCTTGTTTGAAGACCATGTTTCCAAACAGCAGGACTGCAGATATCACTCTCATAATGGCTAGAAATGCAAAAATATTTATGACTTTTTTCTTTTTAAGACCCTAGTTGTTAGGAATACTTGCGTCATATTTAATGAAATTTTGTTAAATAATCTTTTTAGAAATGTGAAGATAATCCAATTATTTCTAAACATGTTGAGTGAAGTATTACCCGACTGATCCTCAGGTGTAATGCCCATGATGGTGAGAGCTTCCACAGTCTGGCGGAATTCTGCAGTGTCGTCCACTCCACTGACAGGCACACTGCCATGAGTCAGGAAACGGTAATTGCCAATGTCCTCCAATAAAAACTCCTCTGTAAGCATAAAATCTCACAATGTAAATTCTTTATTAAATTCACTGTAACATGTTCCCTTTTTTCTGTTATCTTATTGTTTATATTTTCTCCAAATTTAACCCAATAATGTCAGATACTGAAAAATGTGGTGTAATATATAAATTTGAATTTGAAAGGATTCCAGGCAAAGATGTACCCTAACACATGTAACTATACTTTATCATATGGTACTGTTAAAACTGTGAAAACCTAAACCAGAAGTAGCCTGCTGCCATAACCAGATAGGATTTTAAGTATGTCGCATTCAGGACATTTCATCTGTTTAAGTCCTTTAAAATTCATCTTTGGTGTTTGTTTGTTGAATAATAGCATTATGGCCAAAGTCAAGAAACAAAATGAACTTTGAATTTACTTGAAGGTTCAAGTATCAAGTAAAGTTTGATAAAAAAACCTCAACCAGGCTGAAAAACAGCGATATATTTTAGTTATCTCTTCATTTTTGAACATGCATGCATGCACACATACACATACATGATGCATGCGCATACACATACACCCTCACATACACGCGACGATAATAATGGCTATTTCTTGGGGCAAAATTATCTTTTTCTTTCTCAATGTATTTTTTTTTTGTATTATTCTAAAAAACAAATGTTTCAATTTTGTTATCAGACAAGCAAGAAATGAAGTATGAACATATAACAGTAATGTAAAATGTTAGGACATATTAATCAGTGCCTTATGATGGATGACCATGATCCAGGTGTGGGACGTGTACTACAATAATGCTAGACTGTCTAGCCAGACTACTGTACAAACCAGCTGTGGTAGTATGACTCATTCCCTAACTTGTCAAGGTAGGTCATTACCTCAGCCTTACACCACAACAGGTGATAAACTATGCAACAAATCCGTGTATGTATAAAGTAAAAAACGAAATATTAAATCCATGAGTAGTATAGATTTTCTTCCCGTAATTCCCACTGATAAGCATATTCATACTAGTTATACTAGTACCAAGGAGGAGGTAAGGTACATTATGAGGATGCCGAAAAAGAAATTTAAGGTACCTGACCAAGTAAATAGGAGTTAACAGTAAACTAATGAGGCCAGGTTGTCTGACTAAGCAAAGAGGATTTTTACACAGACACCAAATGACGTAACAGGGACTTTGATGGTATAATGGGAAATTATGGGTTACTATCTTTCAGTTAATTAGGATTATGAAGAAAGCAAATATGGGTACAAAGGATTAATGATCATGACCATAAAGTAATGAGATAAGATGTAGAAAACTAAATGGGTCAAAGTCACCAAAAAGCATTTGGCTAGCCATACAATTATACTGAGTTTTGAGAAAATCAATTAATATACTAGTATGCAATATTCCTGAATATTCAAATACTTTTTTTTGTGGTGGTGGCGGAGGTGGGAAGGGGTTGTGGCGGGGTTCAATATCTTTATTGTTCCTGAATTGTGAAGGAACAAACGTATCACTTATCCACATACTTCTCTGATGAGGCGTGGCTCCATATAGGAACTGATAGAAGATGTGAAAACATCTTTCTTGCTCAGCCTGTCTGATAGCTCGAGATTTCTCCAAAAGATCTTCAGTAAGTGAAGGAACAATGAAGTACTTACAAAACACCCTTAATGGAATTACATGTATTTCTGCACACAATAATCATTAATATGACAAGAATTGCAAGTCTTTTCAAACCCTTCAGTTTCTACACACAACCATTTACATATAAAGGTAGACCAACTGTCAAATTACAAAAGAGTGAGTCATCTCTCTCTCTTTTTTTTCAATCATTTTCTAAGTTATGTAATAAATTCTGATATTGCAATGCATAGATATCATCATGAACACACAAATCAAGAAATAAAAAAGCCCACTTAAATTTACATGTAAGATGACTTGTTCTTTTTTACCCTTAGCTGCTATTTAATGATGATTCATGAAGTTAAGTGGTACGGTCACATTTTTTTCTATGAATAGTGATATATTACAAAACTTCATTATATAACCACTTGTACAGTACTTCCAATAGTAATAAATGTTTATTATGTCCACCCTGCAGTAAGGAAAATTGACCACATGCCATGGTGCAACATTAGCGATGGAAAGGATACATGTCTCTATATTAGCTCCAGATATGTAGCCAGATGAATCGAAGTTGATTCTGATGAACTTCCCCTAAAATACAGAAAACCTTTATCAAAAATTGGTTCATATTGAATAGAATATTAATATATATCACATAGGCATCCTTACATATTATTATTTAAAAATATACACTTGATCAAATTTTGAGTGATAACTTACAAATCTGGAAGAATTGTCGTTCTTGATAGTCTTTGCATTTCCAAAAGCTTCCAAGATGGGGTTAGCCTGAAGTAACTGGTTTTCTAATTCGCCCTATAAAATGGAAACATTACTCATTCAAGTCACAGTAAAACAAAACAAAAAACAAAATGCAAAAATATCTTTTAAAAATGAGATCCTTTTCATACTGAATAGGATAGATTGAAACTAAAAATGGTGTGATTTTATTAAGAAATTTTTTAATTGCTCTATAGTTACTTGAAGACTGAGTTATGAGTGATTATCAAATTAGTTTTTCTTTCCTGTACATGTCTAACATCTTTAGATATTAACAGAAATACTTATTAAAATTACATAATTGTTAAAAGCATGCAGTAAAATGAGTTATGGGCTAATTAACAGGAAGAATGCATCATAAAGTAAAACAAATGACCAGCAGTATCTAAATGGATGTTAATAATGACGTCGAGTGTTCAGATCCTTGTACTGGAATCATCAGTCTGTTTGGCCACTACAGAATTAATTAAGCTTGATTACCTCCCTTGGATACGATAACCAGGAAATCAACTTAAAAGTGTTAATTCTGCATGAATGCATTATTAATGGCAAAGCTATTTGTGTGTGCGACACTTAATAACCTTGCCTTGCAATGGCCAGTGGAACCATGTAATTGCCCCTCACCTACTGATGTAGGTATTGAAGCAGGCAAGCAGACCAATTCCATCTCCATAGAACGTTTAGAGAAAGATCCAACTTAATATTTCAGAAGGAATTTAACCTACCTTAAAGGTCACACACAATCAGTTGTAACTCTCAAAAAACACAATCAGTTGTTAGAACATCAATGTTTCAGAAAGAACTCTAACATAATGGATAAGATATTTAGAGTGATCTTTCTATTTAAATCCTATCTTCGTCCAAGGTCAATGGGAAATCCTAAGATAATTTGTTGGTAAATGGACATGTCAACCTGTTTTTTTGTAAAAGGTCAACGGATACATGACCCAACATTGTTGTCCAGTGTCAATAGAAAATACCTATTACTTTAATCAATTCTATGGCCAAGGTCAACTTTGCTGTCAAAGGTCAAAAGACAAATCAACCACTTAGTTCTTAAAAATCAATGGGCACATCATCCAATACGCCTCAACAGCAATGGGAAATACATATCTTTTTTTGTTGTCTAAGGTCAATGGACAATCACAAGAAAATTTGGGAACAAGGCTTACTTTCCAGTCAAACAGTATTGCAGATGTAACAAGACTAGCTTGACCCAATGACCTTGACTGTACAAAGTAATACATTGTACAAGAGAGTTCATGGAGTTCACATTAAAGTGCGAGATGATGGTGAAGTATAAACAAGATCACAAAAGTGTGATAATGACATTGGTCAGTACCAACATTCCTTAAATATAGTGAGAGCTGTGACCAGTGAATGGACATGATCAGTGTACAGATCAACATGTTCAATAACAGTGTGTTTCAGAATTCCGCATGCATAATGGGATAGTTAGTATAGGTTTTAAATAAACACTATCTGGATAAATCTCTTCCATCTGTTCATGCTTCCTGTATAGTCTATATAGAATTAACACTATCAATGTCCTGGCACCGGGTCGGTCTCCACAACTCTTGAATTGGTTTGGAAACATCCTTACCAGGCATGGTTCTAGTGCAGAACTCCAGTTTACTCTGCTAGGAGCTCTGTTTACTTACCATTGCAAAGAAATCATCTCCATTGATCTTGGCTACATATACTTTTACTATCTAGAGAAAAATACTTGGAAATTCAATATCCTTTTGTTTTATGGACAGTCATTAAAAGTCTAGTCGGAGTACTTTAGCATAAAAACCAGACTGTTGACACTGTCTATAAAACAACTGACCAATGATTTATCAAAATTTCCTCATATCATTTCTCTTCCTAGGAGTCAACTAAAAAACCTACTTGTTAGTAGTCCTGCTTTCCATGTTGTTCTTAGACATGGTATGAAGCATGCTCTATTTTTGTTACTTTCTATAACACCCCAGTATCCAAAACCACACAGTCTAAAAATCATTCCTATAGTTATTTATCCCTATACACCTCCCAGTACCTCATCAACAAATGGCTTTAAATCTAATTCTGATGCAGTTTACTAGATGAGTATTCAAAATCACCAAATAACATGTTACACCAAACAACGCAAAAACAAAATTACTAAACAAAACAGACAAGACGAAACATTACTATGACAACATGGCTTGTGTGACGTGAACAAAAACGATGGGTATGAAGTACATGTGTACTTACAAGGTTTATGTCCTTATGGCTCTATTGAACAGTGTGTCCCACAATGGAGAAGAGACAGTTCATTAGGCAATGGCTCAACAGAAATCAACAAAGGTCGTACAAAGGTCATATAAAACCAGTAAAACTTCATGCTTTTTCACATGCATAGATCTACATTTGATTCATTACAAGATATATATTATCTTTATAATGAAATAATGACTAGAGATAGAAATTATTTCAGAAACTAGCATGACAGTTAAGTATTAGCATAATTATACTGGGAAGAAAATTACCCTTTTGACCATAGAGTATATATTCGATATTTTACCGAAAACAACTTTAAACTTAACAAGAAACAATGTTATTATAAGAAATGAGAACAAGAACAAAAAACCATAAAACTCACAATACATGACAAATTTCAGAAATCTATTAATTTATCATACTGTTTTCAAAGAGGATGTAAAAATAAGTTAATTTTCATTCTTAAAAAATTTGAAATACAGGATAATAGAATGCAGTCAATAGTTCTAAGCGACATCCCTAGTTCCCTAGCTAGCACACAGCGCAAACTATAGCTCGCTAAGCCAGACTCTCATGCATTAACAAGATTTTCGACAGATAATTATAGAGTAATATTTACAGATGTATATAATCTAATAATTAGGTTTTGATAAACTGTAAATATTTTTTTAACAGATAATTTGATCATTCCATATTTGTAGAAAGAGTATTTATAAACATTACTACTTGCCTGTACAAACACATTACCTCCCTGTACAATGTAAGATCAGAAATATTGAATGTTTCATATTATTGTTTCCTTAATTACGTCCTTATTTAATTTTTTACATGTATATATTAACACAGTAAACATAAATGGCATGCAATCATCTGATCTCCATGCAATTATTTTTCACACACTGCAACAACGTTGGTTAGAAGCATGTTAATTACTCGAGGGTTTCTTAGGGACAAACCAATGGTAAATTCACGCCCTTATACACAAACAGGTTTTGTTTATATTTTGATTACAGATATTAAATTTATCTGATTTGTAACAGATGCACAATTAACATTAACATACTTGACTCTTGAGTACAGGCATTTGTAAAAATACCTTCAATAACGATATTATCAAACAAGAAAGTATGGGAAGATATTATTTGTAATCAGTTACTTTAGGAACATGTGCATCTATCACTTGGTAAGTTTTGTTTTAGAAAGATTTTTGGGGTTAAAACATTCATTTACAATTACTATTACGTGACCTACCAGTGTGAGAGCACTTTGACGATCTGTGTTTGGCTTTTGAGTTGTGAAGTTAAAAAAGACAAAATGAAATGTTAAAACTAGTCACACTTCTGTAAAGAGATTATCATAAGTATTGTAATGTGTGTGCGTTTATTTGGGTTTTTTTTTAGGGTCGCTAGTTATGACAGAAATAATGAAAAATGTTAAATAAAAGCATCAATTAAAAGAAAGGACTTCAAATTCCTCAACAACAATTTGTATGTTGGTAATTAGCATGAAAAAGACCTTTTCTAAAATCATTTCTGTGACAGAGTAAATACCAACATAATATTACATATTTTCAGAAGTACATTGTACTTGAAATGCTAGCCTTGACATCCTCGAGTCACTTCAAACAGAAGCAGGAAATCAGAAAGGAAACACAAGAAGGTCCACTAAATTAGATCTTACTATGTAACACCCCCTACATCAGAATTTCAGCTTCCTGTTTTTGAAGTTTGTCCTTTAAAGAGTGCATGTATATGTCAAAAGCCACAATTTTGTACACAAGAACACATACGACGAGTTTTAGCCATTCCATATCGACATGCATAACCCCACCGCACCAATAATGTCTTTGCCACTAGTTATTTCAGCTCAGTGTAATTTCACATCTGAACTTAGGGATCCTACAATCAACTTACACTTAAACATAATATAGAGGTGAATAACTTCCTGATGAGATAACAAGGCAAACAAGAGAGTAAACCTAAAGAATACTAGTCCTCCTGGTTTGATTTCTGTACCAGTTTATCATAATTAGCCCAAAGGAAGTGTGCATTTTGCATTATTTCAGTAAAGAAAATGTTTCTAGCTACCTACAAGTTTATGTTCTAGCTACACATAAAATCCATCAAATTTAAAGTAAGAACATCAGACTTTCAACAAGTCTTTTATCATTACAATATGTTACATATTTTCAAATAATTTTCAAACCCTAATCTTTTACAGTATACAAGAATGATTCCCTACACAGACTCATATCTCAGAAAATGGTTTACATCTCCACTCATCACAGTAATCATTAATCAAGGAAAATCTGATCTTAGAAATCTAGCCATATTACAAATATATCCTTAGAAATGTACTCATCAGATCCCAAAGTTCAGACAGATGAAGCAATATCACAGAAAAGAAAGTAAAACATCCTTATATCAATCTATTAACATCATAAAAATTTACATAAAAAAAATTGTAAAAACAAACCCAACAAAAAATAGATAATTAAATTGAGGGAAAAAAACAAAACAAAAAAAACCCCAACAAACTAAAATTGAATAAACAAAAACTTTCATATAAAAAATTTGACTTTTGGAAATCATCTCTGGTGATTCTTCTTTATTAGCCATGCCAAAATATGGGTTTTGGCACAACACCCATTTTTGTAATATTTTTTCCACGAAATCATAAGATTGAAGACCCATTGACATAAGGATGACAAAAATATAAGCTCACATCTACAGAATAGTGAGTATATACAGATTACGCTGGTGTACAACAACAATTCTATCAAATAGCACACTATCTAGTATAGCCAGACACAAGCTAACACATCAGACTGGAGCAGCTAGCTACAGATGCTGCATCATATCAATATAGAAGTGGGGCCGGACTGGCGATGTCCGGCACCACCCAGCCACACCCTGCCAGCCACTCAACAGCTAGCGACAGCCACCAGCTACAAGCGCATACATACCGGGATGTGGAAATTGGAGACGGATGAACGGTTAGATGAAGTTCTGTTTGAGGCTGCGACGTGGGCCAAGTACTGTATAACTTTCTTTGTGTTTTCTGTCTTTCCAGCTCCGGATTCACCTCTACAAGTACAACAGGAAAACAATTCTCAAGTGCTCAACAAGTTGTTTAATCTTGTTCCTGTCAGTGTCCTGAGGGAAAGTTGAACGACTCACATCCCTGAGTGATACCGCCACACCAGTACATTACAAATTGAACGCATGTTTTATACACAAACACAAACCCTGCATCTTCGTGTAAACTGCATTTATATTCAGCCAAGTAATCATTATCTTCCCTGCAGTATCTTGCAATGATGTTGAACCAATTAATCAACTTTTTGACTCGCATGTTTCTTATTCGATTTAAACAAGGGCCAGTGCTGGGCTATCAAAGAAAACAGACACTGAATAAAACAGTTTAAAGTTTCATTAAATTGTTTTATTTTTTCTTTGCTTCAAATATTTGTTAATGTGTAAGTGTAACTGTATATTATACAGACACACAAGAAAATGGTGTCAACTACAATAACAGACACCATTCACAGCTCAGATAAATCTAGGAGTTGCCATAAAACTTTTCCTGTCATTCTTAATTCATTGTGGAATGTTTCATTTTTTTTCTCTTCCTTGTCTGACTACAAAAGGAGAGACCCATTCCTTTTCATCTTGGTCTTTATTCACCACAGAATATCCTTACAGTCCATCATTTCAGACATAGTGCAAAGATAACACAAATAACGTTTTAGCAACAAGTCATGAAAAACTTTGTAAGACTTGTGAGAAATGTGCCTCTATGCTATATACCTGACATGTAAGACTAAGGTCTGATCCTGTTATTACTTCATCATGTACTGAGCCTCTGATTACAACACAGGAGGCATTCACCAGATAATTCGCCTGAAGAATTCAAATGCTAGCCTCAGTGTGTCGGATATGTTATAGCTACAACCTGGAACAATGAAACTATCGGGGCAAGTCTCCCCATATAAATATGCCATACACAATATGTATGATAGCATTATCAGTTATGTCAGGGGTTTATCATCACAGCGACAACCATCTCCATTTACACTTCAAGTCTGTATCCCGGACACAGGTGTTCTTCAATATATATCATCTAAGAAAAACTTGTCTATTTTCAGATGTAATTCTACCTATACCAAGTCTAAGGAAATACTTCCTTTCCCTTTTCTAAGATGATACAAAAAAAAAAAATGAAGAATTATGATCTTATACTGAAGTGACCCAGCCAACTTCAGAGTTAGATGCCAAAGTTGTAACAAACAACAAGAAAACATCTTCAAAATATTTTGGTTGAGGTCAGACAACTGAAATAAGATCTGTAATGGAAAAGTCGTAAAATCAGCATGACTATACAGTTAGTACAATAAAGACACATTTTCTAAATTCAGACCAGGAAGAAGAAATGATTCAAGAGCTGTTGATAATAACATGTCCCATACATGTAGTTTCTGTATGCTAGCGTATAGGCGTAGTCTTTGGCTAACCTTGAAGACTAATTCTCTTCTGTTCAGCCATTATCTTGTTTATGATTCTGAATAAAAAGGAAGTTTACACTTCAGTGGTATAAAATGAGAATATTTGTGCTATACCTAATTATAACATACAATAAAAGATTAAGGAAATGACATTATTAGGTGACAGAAGGGTGACGGTAACATATTGATATCTCCAGTGGTCATCATTTCCTTGGTGACTAAAGCCTTTCTTCACTCAACCAATATGCAGACAGGGTATTGATTGAAGTTAATCTCCATAGCTACCGCCTCATGTTCCTTCAGCATATATACAGATTGATTTGAGCAATATAACAGTATTTTTTGACTATATGGCTGCTACTACATACTTAACATTGAGTAACTACAACAGTAACCCAATATATCTGAGCTTTCGCTCTAAATATACAATCATCTGCAACATATTCTGATAGTGCACAAAAGATGTTTGTGGAGGAGTAAATCCTCAGGATTTTGATGACAAATCAGATGCATTAATACTTTGTTTCCATTCACCTCCACTCCCCAAACACAAAAAACAAACTCTAGAATCAAGAGCTATCTAGGTAAAAAAGTGATATTCATTTTTTCCCCCCAACTTTTAAGACTTCTTTCACCCCTCCCAAATTTTTTTTTTCTAACCTTTTTCTAATTTACTTCATTCCTTGTTGGTTATTAATTGCATGTTTACCAGGTATTACAAAATGTATTATGTTACCATTGATGAGTGATAAGAATTTGTCATGCATGGTGTTGCTATTATGTACATGGATTCTCCATCTTTATTTTCACTGAACACGTGCCTTGATGTTATTTTGACTATTGGAGTTGTGTATTGTTATTTTGACTATGTAACCTGCACATATTGACAGCTGTTTCCTCTTGGATAGCCAGTGCCAATTTGGTAAATTGTGTACAAACATTCCTATGTTCCTGTGTAGTTTGTCAGTAGCACCTTACTAATCAACCCAGCAGTCAGCAAATCATCTCTACAGCCAGTTAGTGTAGGTTTAACATGTCCAGGTGAGACAGCTAATCTCGGCTCTGGGGCACCTATATGTAATTAGCTACATGTAGACTGCAATTACCAGCAATAGATACTGATACAGATGGAATATATTCTACAACACATTCATCCCTACCGCAGAGAGAAAATTAAAAGGAGACCACATCTCTTTCACTTTTCATAGGGGCCTTTTAATCCTTCCATATGTCCATGGCTTGATCTCCAGTGATAGTCCTACATCCAAACTAATCACTGTACTAAGACTTAAGATAAATCATTCTGTAATCTTTTCATTTCTGGAGTGTCAGCACAACTGAGAGCTGATATTAGTTGGGATGACAAAGACCAAGTAAGTATGAAATTGACACAGAAAAAGTATGTAATACAGGTGTTTTATTCTTTCAAAATAAAAAATGATATCTTTTAATTCTTAATCATTTTCCTATTTAATCCAAATACAGGATGGTGAATTCACATTGAAAAAAAAAGATGATGAGAAGCTGACCTGTCCATCATCTGTATAGGTTTGTATGAATCATAGCCTTCCAAACCAACAGATCAAAATACCAGGAAGATAGGAAAGGTCACTGTCCAGTGTGGGGCTACAAAACAATGTAGACTTGCCAATCACAACCTATTTAACTACCCTATGACTAAGGATCAACCCACCTTCTGTACTTTAATGACCGCCCGTAAAACCTATCAACCCATCGTATGTACCTGTATGACTGCGCAGTAAACCTATCAACCCATCTTATGTACCTGTATGACTGTCCAGTAAACATATAGACCCATCGTATGTACCTGTATGACTGCCCAGTAAACCTATCAACCCATCGTATGTACCTGTATAACTGTCCAGTAAACATATCAACCCATGGTATGTACCTGTATGACTGTCAAGTAAACATATCGACCCATCGTATGTACCTGTATGACTGCCCAGTAAACCTATCAACCCATCGTATGTACCTGTATGACTGTCCAGTAAACATATCAACCCATGGTATGTACCTGTATGACTGCCCAGTAAACATATCAACCCATCATATGTACCTGTATGACTGCCCAGTTAACTTATCAACCCATCGTATGGGCCTGTATGACTGTCCAGTAAACATATCAACCCATCTTATGTACCTGTATGACTGCCCAGTAAACCTATCAACCCATCTGATGTACCTGTATGACTGTCCAGTAAACATATCAACCCATCTGATGTACCTGTATGACTGCCAAGTAAACCTATCAACCCTTCTGATATACCTGTAGTGCAGGAAAGTCCAGTAAACCTGTAAATCCATCTAATGTACCTATACTGTATGATTGTCCAGTACACCATAAACACATGAGGTATCTAGAGTCTTTCTATATAGGTTAAGAATTCTATTGTTTGTTGACCTGATTTTATTTACATCATTAAACTAGGGCTGAATTACAATGGAAAATTCATGACCAAATCATAAACTATCCAAGCGTGTGTCATTACACATGAAAGGAGATTTTGTTCACTAAGACTGAAGATATTTTCCACTTGTAGTTTCTCCTTCAGATAAAGTTTTCAGTACTTGTAGTCATCGAGTTCTGTGGATAGATTAACACCAACATAACTAATGATGTGCTGGTACACTTCAGATCAAGTGCCTTGAAACATCATTACTTCCCATGAAACATTCCACACTTACCTGATGACCACCATTTAGCCCTATGCTAATCAATAGCATTAACACTGAAAAGGTCAGTAACAAATACCTCAGATTCCTTTATCAATATTTCTCCTAGATCTTGATGTAGAAGCAGGAATTCTAATTCTTAATTTGCCCTACAGTAGCATTAGTGGCTAGAGTACAAACCCTCTCCCTTTACACCAACAATCCCCCTGTGTTACTCCAGTGACTTTCCCATAACTTGGAGACCTAAACATTTCAACTGCAACCCGACTTCTGTGACCTCCATACACCTCAACTACACACACAACACAATAGCCTTTTCAGAGTGTGAAACTGTTGACAAGGTTTGTAATCCTGAGATAAGTACATGCATGTTTCTGATAGTCTAGTAATACTACCTATGAAGCTATCTGCTTCACTTCCAATATCATTCAACTATCTTTAATCTAGGTATCAATACATGTGCTGTGACTAACACTAACAATGTGCTATTCAGGACGTGTAATTTCAGCATTCTTTCTGGAGAAAAAGTACCTATATAAATCCTTAACAAGTTGAGTTGATGTTGACCCAGCTTTCTTGAGACAGCGCAGTACTGAAACATCAAGGACTGCATAGTCAGTGCCCTACAGAATGATTTGGGTGAATACCTACAATACAGATGCTCGGGACTGGAATGTCAATCACTAAGTCTCCAAATGTGTGTTAAAAAACCTCTAACATTCTCGAAAGTGAATGTTTTCAGGTACAGAACAATTATACACAAGACCATTTCATACTGGAATGTGCAAGTAACTGATTTAATCATGCACCTACTGAATAACTCACTAAATTATTTATGAAGCTGACAGATTCCAGAGACTCCCTGGGATTAAAAAGTAGTAAGAGTTTGTGACCTAGTAAACTGTCTTTCCTTAAAGGTAGCTGGTAGATTAGGAGTAATATTGCCTTATATGGGCTTCCTTTCAACCATGTGAGTCATTAGCCATGTAAGGAGTGTAAAATTTCTATCTGTCTCCTTATTTTATGACGAGAAGACATTACTCAATAGTGGAACAGGACTATCTACGACCGCCCCAGACATGTAACCACACAGTAGCATTTAACCAATCCAAAACCGACATTGGGATAAAAAAAGGCCGAACAAAAGCAGTCATTCATGTCTAGTATGTACACAGGTAAACTTAAATATCTCTGCCAGCCAACAAAGTATGCTGATCTAGCATAAAAACTTTATAGTATCGCTACACTAAAGTTAAGTATGCATGATTGCACAAAAACATGCATTCTGTCATCCAATGACTGTGTATATATGTATATACAAATGTACATGAAATATGTGTATTGTAATAATCACTATTCAGTTCAATTTATTGTCTTGCTAATTTGAGTTGAAGATTTTTTCCTGCTTTTTCTTTGAAACTGAAAATGAACCACAATATGTATCTAAATAGATCTGTATGTACCAGCTATTTTTCCAAATGTTTAGGTCAACTATATAAATGAGAAATTTCACAAAAGTTAGACTCCATGAAATTCTCCCTCTGGCAGTTTAATCATTATGCTACCTGAATAAGCAATGAAAACACAAGGCCTACACAGTGAGTTTACTTTATTGTCATGCGTGTTAAATTTGGAGACCAGGTATAACTTTAACAACTATCTTCAAACACATGCTACTGCAAATTAACTCTTAGACTGGTTGCAGACCAATTTTCTTGCCTATGAAACATAGCTAGTATGAAGTGTCCCTGAACCTTAAAGTGTGCAAATAAAATAATAAGCTTGTTTAGAGAGAGATTGGATAGCAGGAAGAGTGACATGTCTGTTCACACCTGTGTTGAACCAGGGTGGATTACATTTATGGCTGAATTCTGCGACCTTTTAAATTCCGTATTTGAAGAACTTTTCTATTTAGGCTGGAGATTAAAGAATGTGATATTTTGTTACAACATGGAAGATACTTCACAAAGTTCTTGTCTATGCATGTATCCAATATAATACAAGTTAGCTGGGCAAAAGTGAAATCGGAACAAAACAGTTGAGCACATACTACATCCGTTAACTTCAATAACACCTGAACTTAAAAAGAAAGATCCATTTAGAAGTACACAAATTGTGCTGTTACTTTCCTTCCTCAAAATGATCAAGAGTTATTATTTTGAAATTAAAAGCCAGTCCATCATTCCACAATTTTCTCCAGACACAAGCTAGTCAGTTAAACAAAAAGAGTGTCTATATCTAGAATAATTAGACCTAAGATTTGAATTTGTTCATAAAGACCTGAATTTCTTTCTTGTTATGTAACTTAAACTTGATCTTTCGGCACTCACCACTGTTACAGGACATACTTTCAAGACCTGATCAGACCTAAGTTTCAAACAAGGGGAAGATTAAGCTAGAAGAGCTGGACAATGTTTTGCAAAACCTTTTCATTTGATAGCCAGTCTAGGGTGGAGTACAATATGTAAGATATATACACAGATGGAGAGGATATAGGTCAGTGATAGTTCTAAACAGGGACCACTGGAAACCTGTCCGACAACACAAGAACACCCTGCTATTGTATAAGATGTAATAATTCAGTTTTATCTGAACCCTTCACATAGTTTACTGCCTAGTACCCTGATAACTCTCTTTGTTTTACTATTCTGAAGCTAGGTATAGGGTTGGGGAACAGTTTTCGATATTTAGTGTAAAGTTTAAACAAATATCTTTATCAACTCAATGCTCTTCATGATATAAAGTCTATAAATATAATATACATCTGCTGTTACAGTAGAAAACTGAGTGGGACAACCTGAAGCTTCTGGGCCAGCCTAGAGGAAACCTGTACTGTTTGCTTTCCTGTTAGGATAATTAGAGGTTTGTATATATAATCCCACAGCACAAACAGGCTTTATACATCTGCATTATAGTAACAGTTCTACATATAAATATATATATTTCTGTAAGGCTTAACCTCCGGAAGCTGCACAAGGAGATGGAACAGACAGGACAGCAAGGGAATATGTAGGACGTGGCCAGTATGAGGTTAACCTATTGACATATTCTGTAATGATTTTTTGTCAATCTACATAGAATAAAGAAACTGATACACTAATACTTTTATCTGGAACAAAAGGTGTGGCATGATTACTCCAAGGATTTGCATTGTTAAATACAAATATATGTTGTACTTGCTACTCCCCCCCCCCTCCACTTTCATCTAGCAAGTAGACATACAAACAAGGCTCATTAATGTAAGTTTATGTTACATATGGAAAAAATTTAATTTTCGTTTTTATTTCTTAAAAGAAAAAAATATGCTGCTCATTATAAAGCATGAAGGAGGTCTTACTACAGATCAGTATCACTACTGAAGTAGGATATCATGACAAAGGTAAAGTCACATTGACTTGTATAATTAAGCAACAGGTGTCCATGTATATACATGTATATATAACATTGTTATTATCATTGACAAACTCAATCAGAATACAAACAGAACCAAAATCTGGTTAATCTGTCAATGGACCTAAAGTTATTGTAAAAATAACAATCTAAAGTAAAACATGAGTCAAGATACCAGCTGTGAATCAGAAGTAATGTATGCAGATTACTTGAATTGATGACAAAACGCTTGTATATGAAAGATCTGTGACGGCTGACATATGTAATACACATGAATAAAAGCAGTCATTTTTTTATCTATAAACTCTATCTATTGCTCTGTGTGACTGTGATCAATGTGGTTTTTTTTTGGATGCTCATTACCACTGATGCTGAAGCTTATACCAGTGTACAAACACAGAGCACTTGGCCCCATCCGTCCTCATCACAGCCGGTCTCCATCTATCTTATATATATAACCACATGTCTGAGCTGCACTTCACTGTCAGGCAAGGCTGCATATTGTCAGTCTATATCAAGTTTGGTGTAGAAAGACAGCTTTGGATACAACAGATACATATATTGATACTTAACAATATCCATTACTGACCAATGGTATTGAGATTCATGAAGAAAATATCCATTAAATCTTAAGATGTGCTTACTTCAATTTGTTTAATATTGTTGTCAAGAGATGATATATTATTATCTGAGACTCAATGGATTGCTCATCTCTGAACGACCTTTAATATTTTTAGGACACCGATCATCCCATGATAATTTGGGTCTAAATCAAATATTTTATCAGTGTTAATGATTGTTGAGATAGGTCAAATTCAATATATGGCCTTTAGATAAATAGTTAAAAAAAAAACCTTAAGACATGAAGATTCAGTACAAGCTGAATTGTATGCCAGTACAAATTATGCATGCAATATTTTAGTTTTCTTCTTTGCAAAATTATCAGGTATTCAGCAATGAAGGAACTTGGCCCATCTATTGGGAGTGGACCCAGAGTATATAAGCTTATCAAGCAACAACTTTAGAGTCATCATTAGCTGCTATTTATTATGTGTCTATTACCTTAGATTAGATAAATAACAGTCGAGGCAGGGATGCATACATGTGTAGAGTGTGTATAAAAACTAGAAATCCCCTCCCACAAACAGCATGGTGAGAAGAGACTGAGGGGTGTTTATCTCTCCCCTAGCCCCCATTAATCACCTGTATACTCTAATCAAACTATAATTCTAACTGAATGTAGCAAATTCAGGAAATGATGGCTAAGTTTTGTAGCAACTTTCACCTAAATCTACATAAAAAAAATGCATACGTCATACATATAACTAGAACTGATATCTCTGTTAACGCAACAAGATGCAGACTCTAACATCAGATCTTATCATCATGTTTCAAATTCAACCCAGAAAAGTGAAAGGCACAACTCCATAGTGTAAGTCAGAAATGCTATTTCTTCGACTTCACACATAGCTGATGATTCACTGGGCAGATAGCTGGGTAATTCTCCGGTTATGATTAATCTTGAATTAAAGTGACTGCATCACCTCTAAATGATATAAGAAATAGATCCAGAAGGGAGGTATTCAGTCGTTCCAAAGATATGAGATAAAGCTAGTGCATATATACTTTTACAGTTGAGGTTCATACAGATTAATGTGACGAAAAAAATATTATTGCAATTTTGAAGTCACCCCATTCTTTATCAAATAAGTTTTTTTCAATTTTGAAGTCATCCCATTCTTTATCAAATAATTTTCTTTCTTTTCTGTATATAAATGAAAACTTCCACCATGCTCCTTTGATAGGTTGGTATTATCACTGAATTTTTGTGGTGACATGTCAAATAGTCACTGCACACCTATGCTGTTCTTATCAAGTAATGGATACATATCTCAAGTCTATATCAAACATGTTAACCTAGATAAAGGTAACACTGATGGCGTTTTTACTGATTACCAACCAAATGCACATAACACAAAGTGTCAACTTGCATAAATGAAGAACTAACACATTGGAACAGTACAAATGTACTAGTATGGTGTATATGTATACTGTATTTTTTAACTTATTTTCATTTCATTTCAGAAATACTTACGTGCAAAGGATGGACTGGTCTTCTCGGTCTAGAACAAAGAAAAAAAAGTTAACTTAGAATGCAGATTTAATCACTTTTGATTCATAATTAATTTTAAAACTACCATGATAGTCATAAAACTTTTTTTTTTAAATTTATTGAGGAGTTACTATCTATCATTTATTTGTTGATTTTATTTGTCTTTGCTAATGCCTCTCCCATTTTAAATGTTTAATACATATACCTCCTTTGGTGCTCCATTAAAAGCCAGTACCTCTATATAAACATAGATGCATAAGTTAAATGTAGGATCAATTTGAAATATCTTAATGTGAATATCCTTCAAGTAAGCTACAGGGACCTAACTGTGAACATCCTGTGTGTTTATGACCTCTACATTGTATATCTGTCAAAATCAAGCTCCCCTTCAGTGATAAATGACCTTATTTCACCTTAAAGGCCAGTGACTTTGGCTATTTATTATACATTTCAATTTTTCAGTCAAATTAAATAACCATATATATGTAAAGTATTCCCTTGAAAAGTTTACATTTTGAAATCGTAATGCCATGAAAATTGTATTTATAAGAAGCTTTAATAATTCGGACTATTGCCTCCAAACAAGTGTTTTTAACAAGTACATGTACCCTACTTGATGGCTTGACAAGCAGTCACAAACATTACTACAAAGCCAGCAAGTGTTAGGGCAGGTTGATGTACATTTACATTTTGTAAGCTCACATTTTCAGAATACCACCAGGCCCAAATGGATGATTGCTAATACTTCAGCTCTAGCCACATCCAACAGGCATCTTATTTTGACAGATATAAATACTAAAGGTCGTTCTGTAAGAAAAGTCACGCTTTGAGTTACTAGTCTACATTTTCATGTTGGGACTCAAATACTTCCTGTTTTATAAAGAGTAGTAAATGAATGTTCTTCAATATTTTTTACCCAGTAATCTAATATCAAGGACTACCGTATATAGACAACCAGAGGTGGACTTAAAGGGGCCACTAAAACCACCTGATGTATTTATTAGATACCACAGAGTTCCACATATACCTTTCTTAACAACACATTCACTATTTAAGTTTAATCTTTACAACTTTCAGATTTCCATTTACACAGAATCCCCTTCATTCATGTTTCAAAGGAAGGTAATGGCTACCAATTTCAAGGTTAGGTAGTTATCTGAAATATGTGACCTTACTAGAGCTGGAGACGATCAATGGTAAAGTTAGAATGCTCGGAATGTGGACAAGCCTAAGACCATATCAGAACCATTGTTCTTGGCCAAATTAATGATGTAGGCCAATTATACAGTTGTATTGTTATCATGCATGTATTCAACTAAATACACAAGACTTAAAGTTTTCATGTTCTATATTTATACTGTTTTTCATGAAATGTACTGATTATTCTTGGTATACACAAGCAAGAATTTTACTGATAAGTTAACAATACTGTCAAGTAGTGAAGAAACTATGATATAAAACATAGATCATGTAATTATGCAAGAATTTCACAGCATGAACACTCCAGTCTTAATTCAATCCTGAATACCTTAGTGAACATTCACGGAATACTTGTGTGTATAAATTTTATACACAAGTCTGGAACAGGGGAGAAGTTTAACAATAGATTTTTATAAAAGAATCTGAACATCCGTGACAACGATTTCCTGAAACATTTTCTTTTCTACTTTTACATATTATTAAGGACTCATTTTAGCATGCAGGTGCGTCTTGTGGTGCATTTGATACACAATAAACAAGTTAATTTTAGTTTACACTAAACTAAAAAATATGAAATCTGTGTGCATTACAGAACTGCATCATAATTCTTAGCAATTATGTCAATGCTCCGAATGCATCTGTCTGTTGTCTATACTTGCATACAATAAACCATAATAGAAAAAGCTTAAACACTCTCATTTATGCGCAGTCATGCTTCTATGGCTGCTATCCTTGAACACAAATGTAGACGTGTGTTGATCATCAGGTATATTTACTGCGGTGAACATGTTTTTTTAAACAAGAGTTTGTAAAATGTAAATGAAGTGTCATTATCTAATGTATAATAGGCTCTATCATATGTGGAATGTACAGAAGACTTATCCCTAAGGCTGAGACTGTGGCATATGTCATGCATAACTATTGTACACAAATCTCTTAACGCTGTCTGACTATGTATTCTGGCATAAAAATAAGAACATTTTGGCCAAATAACAAAAAAAAATAATAAATGAACACATGAACACTTTACCATATGCACAGTAAAACATGCCCATCAAGAAATCTTTCTCACTTCAGCTATAAATTGCTAATGTGAAATATTTCTCTAAATATGATATTCAAATGACAATTTTACATAAAGGACAAAAGTCTGAGGAGTACAAGTTATACCTACAGATAAAGATAGTCTAAATACACTTTTTGAATAAGTTCTACACAATCCAAAGTTGAACTATACTATATACAAGTTTGTATTTAGTGCATAACATGGCATTAATCTGTCTTTGTGCCACATAAAATCATAAATTATGACAAAATTTTTTTTTACCATTTTCTCTGTGTATTGTCTTACTTAGTACATAGAACTAGTAGGACACCAACACACTTATTTCCAGATATATAAAATAACCTACACTGTAGTCATAATTTCTGAATGCTCCTAGAGCCAGCTGTAAGCACTACCAATTTGTATATAAATGTCAGCATGAATGTTATTGAGTGGCATAGGGTTGATGGACAGTGCATCAAAGTCGTGAACTATTAACCCAAATCAATGTTCCATATCCAGAACTTCCTAAATGTCATGTACATCCAAAGTAAGTGTATACACTATGATTTTATCATGTTAAACTGAGAAATCCTTAATTTTGTGTTAAAGGATCAATAATAAAACAGATCACATATTCTAAATCCAATCAACAATCATGAACTTGTTTCACATGTAGATGATGCTAGACAAAACTTGACCCTAAGCTCAATATACATAAACATGTAAATATTCACTTACAGGTAAAATGAATTTTATTCCAACGCCCAAAACTTTCTGACTTCTACCCAAGCTTCTGCAGAACAGAAATCTGTCACAATGATTCACTAAGATTTATATTTTTTTGGTAAGAAAAGTTTACCTGAGGTACAGTAGAATTTGTATGATTGCCTTTTAACAATCTCACAACCTATCACTCTCACAACCTATTACTATATTTAGCTTGGTTCAAGATGAATATCTTTCAACTTTGCTCCCCAATGTCTCAGCAATCTGTTGTCTACAAAACTGACAGGGCAACAATGAATGATTTACTTTTTTTTCTTTTTGGTTAGTTGCCATAAAATACAATTAAATACAAGTAGCACAGTCAGCACTAATGTCATCTTTGTTACAAATTTGAAGATAACATTATATTATGGAGTCTTCATTAAAAATGTGTATATTTAAACTGTCACCCAATTTTTTAAACTAGTTCTTGTAACATTGAAGACAACAGGAGGAAAATGTGTTAACTGAATCCTCCCCCATTTACCTTGTAACATGCTGCGATAGGCTCCATCTGTGATTGCAAAAACATGGGGAGGAACTTCATGTCTCTTTTTTCCTTTGTATAATTCAATCACTTTTTCTGTGTAGATTGGAAGTCTTTTGTAAGGGTTCACCACCACACAAAACAGACCTGAATATGTCTGAAAATGGAAAAGGTGAAATTCAACATTTCCTGCAGATCTTGTTAGAAAATAGAAATTCTGTGATATAATAATGCATATCAAAATATTCACAGTAATGCTGATAAATGCCTACCTTGTGTCAATAATGCCTTGTACACTTATTTGTTGGGTTGTAGTTGTAAGCTTGTTTGTATGCTCATAAAACAAAGTGGAGTTAAATTCCCAAAACTATGTAATTGTAAACAAGACTTTGAAGAAGGTATCGTACGTATACTAGCTGTTATACTTGCTCAATATGTTAAACAATGTTCAGTAATGTTGTCCATCTTTAAAAAAAAATCACAACAGCTCAAACTAATCATATCCTCTGAGACACTAAATTTGGATGAAAAATAAGATGGGAACATTCATCTTCACCTAACATATGAAGTGTACATTTGAATAAGGTGTTATGGATGTACTGGGATCACCATTACAGCTACCCTAGGTTAAGTGAGTACATGACAGAAATAACTACTCGTGGTGGAAAAAGATCAAATGTTCTATCATCATTATGTAAGCATTTCATGCCAAAATATACACTCATAAGCGTCAAAGCTAAAATATTTAATGAAGATTTAAAGGACAGTACCATATATATACTTTATTTTGTTGAAATAGTTTTAATTTTTGCAATCTTACAACATAGAAGATGAAAACATTTTCTCTTCAAACAAGATTTTCATACTTGAATTTGTGGTTAAGATAGGGAAATTAAAAATAATAATGCACATTTGGGCAAAATGCCAACTGGGCTTTGCATTACAAACTGAATCATCTGTAAACGGGTCATTATTCTCTTGTTGTATCCAATGCACCTTTACATGAATGAAGTCAAAAAAAGAAGTACTTCCGGTTATATCTGTTATTTTTACTCATGTTCATAACATCAATCAATATGTGGTAAATAACCATGACTTATCTGCTTTGTGGTCCAGCGCAGTTTATCATTACATATAACAAATTGCATACTAAATAGGAAGTTGAAGATGAAACCAAACAATAGTCAAAATACTTTAAATTGACTCATTTTACAACACTTTTAACTGGAGTGCATTTCCTTATACTTTTCACGAAACCTTAGAAAAAGATATGTTAAGTGGCAAATCATAACTAGGGAATCATCTTGAATAGGAAAAAGAAATGTTTTAACGAGGAAGCATAAACCTTTCTTTGTTGAAAACGTTAATCACTCTCTGCCATGCTGTACTGGATCATATCAAAAATATCTGATTTTTATCAGCAAATGGTTTCTTTTGCAATTTGGTTATCAGAACACAAGGTTAGCCTTTCCTTCCATCTTGCAATAAATAATGTATTTGATATCAGATTTCTACCATTGGAGGACAGCTAGTGGATAATCAAAGGGGTAAACACTGGGGCCCACTTTGTGTTTGCCAACATCAAATAACGGTGAAACATTTAGTCCTTGCCCAGGTAACTCCTACAGGTGATATAACAACACTGTTATCTTGTAAGTGTATGCCTGACCATCAACTTGTGTAGTACCCCTGGCTCCAGATAACATTCTCTATACCTGTATATCAATATGACAGGTACCCTAATGAGACAAGGGTAGATCTATTACAAGATCAGATGAAGCTTTCGCATTCCCACCAACTTTCTCATTAATTGAATAGTTTATACAGCATTGAAACCCAATATTCAAATACACAATAATATAACTGATAAATATAAGAAAGAAACAACCTAGACCAATTTTGTCTGTGTATTAATCAAATACTTTTCCTTTTTATCTAAATATATCACACAAGCTTCATCATTGCAAAGCGATCTAATAACTAATCTGCGACTGATACCAATTAAGTTTTATTCACCTCTGCACATGACCACCTGTCCGATGAAATACCTGGCTGTCCCCATTTCAGAATCGCTCAACCAAGACAGTCTACAGACCTCCTGCACTGTGACCTCAATCTAATTCTCACAACCAATAATATAGCAGCTAACGCTAACCATGTTTATGCCATTTTTAGAGGTATGCCAAATATGGAACACTACTGACTAGTGGATTTCTATTTTTTTTTTTATTCAAAGAGCATAAGTTTAATAATGATTTTCAGTGGTAGCTTCAATGGTTACTAAAAAAAATACTGAAGGCCATTTCAATATTCTGGACTGACAAGTGAAAAGCCGTGAAAAATCACTTAAAACTTTTAATCAGTTGTGTTACATTTTTTTATTACAGTTTTTGCTACACAAATCTGATTAGCCAGCAACTGATCTATTGCCAAAATTTTACTAGCTTGTATTAGAAGTTTGCCATAAACTTAAGTTTGAGCTCAATTAGTATCAGGAAATACAACATTACCCATTTCCTGGTAAGGAATCATTATGATAGGGAGTGTGAACTATGATGGTCAATCTCTGTTATTACTCCTAACACCATTGTCAATTTACAATGGGAGTCCTATGACCAAATTTGAAAATGAAAGGAAGTGGATCAGATAACTTAAGCAGGGTGTCATTTAATTTGATGTAAAAATACTGTAATGTACCTCTGTACACCCCAACAAAATCAATGCCTTATCAGCATCTAACAGATGACTCATGACCTGTCCCACTACCCTGGTCATCATTGGACAGATTGGTGGAGATCAGTATGCAACCAGGTACATATTGCAAATATCTACTAAAGGAAAAACTCATTCCCATCCTCAACAGACAGTAGGGAGGAGGGGGTGATCTTCAATTTTTGGTAATAAAAGTCTCATACAACATTTATAACATCACTCTTGGTTTTTCAAATGTAGAACAATCATACAATGCCAGTTAAACATTATCCAGGCAAAGAAGCATTATTCTTTTGCACACCCAGCGAATGTTTTGGATAATGGTATTTCTAAAATATTCAAAATACAGAGGGTATCAATGCGACTGCGTATCCGTGCATCCACTTACTGAAGACAATTTGACAAGAATGGAGCGGACAAACCAGGGTCCGCAAAAACAGGGAATATACACACCATATACATTTTTCTGTGCACACCATAGTGTTACTAGTAGACAGTTCTACAGATAACAAAATATAATAGGGATTGCCACATGATTCATAGACGGATCACCTCATGTATCGCAGTGCGACCATGTCAATAAAACGCAGACATTTCGGGTGCGCTTTTTCGGCTTGGAATTAAATTTATACTTACGTAAATTAGGCCGGAGTAGTATCGATCTTTCAAATTATGAAGAACAGATGCTTCGTTCAGACATGTCAATTCGGCCATGTCCTCAACTTTCGAAAACTTAGGGGGGTTCATTTTCTGACAGTCATCCCGGTGAACCTTGACATGTTTTCCAGATTCCTCAAGCTGAACTTCCAATTCATCTCCCCTCTCCGACACGACACTGGCAGCGCAAAAGCCATGAACTTCGTGTGGAACCCAAATTAATCTTTTGGCTGCCCATTCGGCTTGGACCATAGGATCATTTATACGATTCCTGTCAACAGCAAGATACTTCAGCTCCTGAGCGCTGACACCAGCGTACGGATCGTCCGCCATTTTGAAATTTTGCAATGGATCCACACGACTTCAGAAAGTGTGGAAACTGATAACACAGCTGTCTCTCGTGTATCAAACGTTTAAATAAATCCCTACAAAACAAGGAAATTCAAGAATAATAATTTCACAATGACACAATCGTCCAAAGTTGCAAAATTATCATTCAATGTTCAAACCATGTCAACCGGGCCGCCGCCCGCCTTGATTCACACAGGAAATTCAATGAATGTCACGTGATCGGAGCAGAGGGTAGGTACGATGCAAGGGATCGTCTCAAAAGTTATTTTTGTATTTCGAAAAGGTATTTCAATCTACAGCATGACATCACACACTGTTACGCATTCAAAGGTAAATTCATTACCAAGTTATTACAACAACATGCTTTAATATATGTAATATGAAATTATTATCTAATATTCATTTCTACCTTTAACATTTAATATTGTGTTGTAACACCCCCAGTCTGGAATCTCATCAGTCGGATATGACACTTCAATACACAAATACCTTTACGTATGTGTCCAGTCCCAAACCGGATTCCCCTATCTCATATGTTTGTCAAGTAAACTATGTACCGATGGGCTGAATGCATACCACTATGTCGGTGAGATCAGTACAGTGACGTCACCGTACCAAAAGTGATCTCATACGGAAGGTGCAGCGTGCTTCCTGTTTACAAGGACAGTCGCGATATGTGATAATTTACCAAATAAGGCAAATCGTGTGAACCGTCAGGCCAATAATAGAAGTGTCTTTCGTGCTTTTTAAATTTTTAAACAAACGCATATAATGACTTCTGTACATTAAATGGTTGACTGTTAAATGTATATTAGCGAAAATCATCAGAATCTTACTATATTCTTGAGCTTTGAATTCTGTCAAAAAAACATGTTCGCGTGAGATTTCAAATGTCCCCCACGTCTTCTTTATGTCTTCATCCATTTTATATTACCATTATGATAACACTATCATACACAGTTGAAACTACGTGAATAGATATATCTAGATACATTAGTCTTTGTAAGTGATCAAACCTTATGATAAGTTGTACTTATTTCTTTATAAAATTAAGGAAATGTTTCTATTTTTTGACAATTTACCGAGTTAGTTGATCGCTTTAATTCCTAAATATTTTGTTGTCATATGCACATTTTAATTGATTAGGTCACAATGTAGCATATCATTGCTTTGAACCTTTCACTGAATAATCTCAGCTGATCACGACAATGGTAATACAGGAAAGTTTCAAGCACGTTTCTTTCAGTTTTTAATCTTCCAAACAATGCATGATGATCTGGACCTTCTTTGGGACAAGCAGAGTCAGTGCTGCATGGAAAGCTTTGCTTCCCCTCCACCCCACCATTATCTTTAAAATTTTGTAAAAATTTTGTAGTGAGTGATGTCTGTATCATTCATAAATTTGTCTACGATACAATGAAAGACAATTGTCAGTACATACGTTGGGAAATCATTGGAATTCCTGGATTCTTGACCGTTTGTCTTTATTGATTTCGATGGAAAAATCTTCTCAGAAACAAAGTATGCCCCTCTAGTGAGAGTGAATTGATTGCAGATATTATCAGAACAGGTCACACTGACCCTATCAAGTTTTCCAATTTCACGTTCCTTTCAACGAGGAACTTATTTCCTTTGCCCTTTGGATATACCCTGATCAAGCAGTGAAGGCTCTCAATTAAGCTTGATGTATAAACATTAAATAACTTATACATCACTTTTCTTTTTCTATTTCTATATAGTATCAATTTTGTCTTCCCTACCTGTGACGATAAAAACAGCAATTCATTTGTCTTAAGTTTGCTCCCAATATCACGAGTTCCATGATGGACTGCGGTAAATAGCTGGAAAAAATTTACAGTGGATATCCTCATTGGGAAAATTCGGTGATCTTGAAGTTAGTATGTTTATTAGTTTAGTTACTGACCAGACTCTACATTAAGAACTCAAAGGAACGACTAAGATTCGCATGTTGGAGATCATCAATGAAGCAGACAGCATTTACCTCACTGAAACACGTCTTTTTCTCTGTATTTTATGTTTCATACTGAATTTTTTCTTTTTGTACAAATGCTGCCCTGGTTTCAATGATTTAGACCTACCAACTCGGTATTCAGTTTTGGAGAATAAGTAAATGATTTTGATGTTGGAACTTTGTATTTTTTGCTAGTCATCCTACCATATTTGCCATTCAGCATTTCACAACTTCATGACATCGATGACTAATATTTGTATATGGTCGACAAATGGCTATAACTCTTTGTATTCATACACATGCAACTCCACCATTCCAAGAGTCGCTCATACAGAATTTGGTAATTGTTATGTTGCATGAAAAGGATATAACAATTGGTACAAGCTGTTTGCAAACCTTCAGAATTTGAGCCTTTTAGTAGTGGGGAACTGTAGATTTGCTCCTACCTTTCTGGAGTATTCTGATAAAGATGAAAGACATGTCGTTCATATGTCATTTCACCAAAAATACATAAGTTACAGCCAATGTGTAATGAAATAATTTTATTTCTCTTTTTATTTTCATAAAAAAGGAAAACTGTACAAAGTTTATAAGACATCTGTCTTAAATGACAAACCACTTCTAGTCAATACCACTCATACATTTCCAGCACTTTCACCATATAATGTAAATATTTTCTGATGTTGCGTAAAAGCTCACAGCTGTGAAATATCTATCTCTTAGAGAATCAGAAAAATATAGCTGACATGCACATTCTCCAATCTACTGTATAGAATAATATGTTCAGGATTTAAAGCAGGATTGAAAGTTCAAAAGCCATGCTAGCCTCAAGGACTGATACAGACTTCATAATCTCCATGGGGGGAAAAACAAAAAAAACCTAAAATTAGTTGGAAGTTATCATAGCAGCTTTGGTGAGAATTTCCTTAAAGTTTGTGCTTTGATATGTTTTACACTATCTTATGAAACTAGTGGAATGAAATACTTTGTAGGTATTAGAATATACTTAAGATGTGGGAAAATACTGTTAATTAAATGTACTTTATCAATCACCTGTTAGTGTGAGAAGCTTTTTTCACACTTTCCACGGTTCAATACTATGCCCCATCTATCCGTGTTCTTTGGATATATATGTTTGGAGAAGCTTACAAAGGTTAATACAGTAAACTACAGCATGAAAAATGTTGCCATGGATAACAATATGATTACAAGATGAAATGGCAATTGTCATTGACACAAAATTTCAAAAATCATCTGCTTAATATCTGACCAAATTTTTATCATTCAAATTGCAAACTTCAAAGTTACCTCCCTTCAATTAAAATAAAAATAAAGATTGCTACATCTAAACTGAACTTATTTTGTTTGGATTGGTCTGCATGTAAGGATATCAAGGAGCTGAGAGAAAATAGTACAGTTTTTGCACCTTAAAATATGCTTACAAATTAACAACTGTTTCAGAGTTAAAAACTAAGGTTTGATGTTTGCAAAAGGGAAGGAACTCCTGATTCTTTAATGCCAGTGCATGGCTGAGTAACACTGGAAGATCATAGCTAAAAGGAAACCAAATCATTTTGAAGAAAAATTAAAGGGCTAAAACAAAAAAATGTTTATTTAACAAAATGTTATCTGACCATTACTGTTAATGCCTTAAGTAATCCTAGAGGTATTCTAGATATATTCAATAATATCAAAACACAGTTTGTTGAAGAAATGTGTAGTACAACACAGCAAGTATACATGAGGAGTATGTCCATCTTTATAACCGTATTTAAAAGTTTGAAATAGACATGTGTATTAAGCATAATTGTATATACATTAACTATGATACGACTAAATTGAAAGTCTGCCAGTGTAATAACAGTGTAATGTCTAATTTGAACAAAGCGTCACTTGGCGGTAGGCAACTTAAGTGCTTAGGGAATGCAAATGAGCAGGCTTATGAAGTACCAGGTTTATTGCAATCATCTTTACTAGATATCATCAGTAATTGTTGAAACTTTTTCTAATGATGATTTCAAAACACAGAAAAAGTAACACAGTATAAGCATTTCAAAGTTTTTGGTCCAGTTGGTATGTATAGAAACACAAAAGTTTGTCTGTGGGCCATGTCAGTGTGTGACTGGATATGAAAACGTTAACATAGAATCATTATATAATAGTCAGTTTTGATACTTAACTTATCAGTTTCAGAAATAAGCCAGCTGATAGGAAAAACATAAGTTTTTCCAAATAAACCCCCAGAACAAGATCAGATATGGAACAGGATACACCAGTAATAAATTCATTTTAAACATGGCTTCCACTTTTAATTCCTTGTAAAATTAATTATATATGGTAAACCTTCAGTCAGTTCAAACAAATTTAATTCAATATTGTTCAACATATTTGAATTATCAAATTACGCTTGTGTAAATAAATCATGCTTGTAAAAATAAATTAGAGTTTGAACTAAAAACGTTGTTCTTTGACAAAACAAATGGCAACATCTTGTGGTTTGTATATATTTACCAACTGTTTGGGTTGTAATACAGAGTTGGGGACTCGAGTTGCTTCTGCTGGTGCACACGATGTTATGGCAAAATGTGAAAGAAATCACACTACACAATCAATGCTATGTAAGCAACATGTATCTGTATAATTTGACACTATCAATTACTTATGATGGTCGTTTACAATCTGTTACCCGCAGCGTTTAACCTTGTTGTGAATTGTGATCACACAGTGATTATTGTGACACCAATGCCTTTATCAATGGTTAAACGTGCGATAGGTTCAAACAATTCAAAATGTTAGCAAAACAAACTAGAAAGGGTTTGAACTATCACTAGACAGAAAATTCTAGTTTTTATTGAAAAAAATCGAACTACCTGCCTATTCACACTGACCGAAGGTTTACCATATGTATATGTATATTAATACAAGCAGGATTTTTGTGCCTATAGTAAACAATTTTCTTATCTTACACAAGCAGGATACTTGTTCCCATAGCACACCATTTCCTTGTCCAATAGAATTTTACTTCTACTTCACACTATATCTTATACATGTACAAGCAGGATTTTTGTTCCCATGGTGATCGTCAAACCATTTTCTTAACCAACAGGATTTTATTTCTACTTCAGACTTTCTCTTTATACAAGCAGATTTTTTGTTCCCATAGTGCATCATTTCCTTGTCCAACTGGATTTTATTT